GTTTATTTCGTTTATTCGATGAGATATCAATCGATTTATTTGAGTTATTATCAAAAATGGCGGATTATTATTTTTTTATTACAACTTTAACGCTTTTTAACCGAAATATGTCGAGTTTGGTATCAAATTGAAGGAAATTTTAAATCCTATCGATTCAAACTTGAAGTAATAAAAAATACTTTGTTTTTAATTTGTCATAAAAAGGTAATAAAAATAATAACATTGATAATTTTTATCAAAAACGCGTCGAATTTGTTATAAAAATGAAAAAATTAAATTAATTTGATTTTTTTTCAAAATGGTAATAATAAGTATGATGATAATAATAATCGAGATTAGCATAAAATTGGTTTTGATAGATTCGAAATTGAATTTCCTTTAAAAAGAGTCCAAACTCGATGTGTTTATCTCGCTTATTCGTTGAGATATCAATCGATTTAATCGAGTTATTATCAAAAATGGCGGATTATTATTTTTTTATTACAACTTTAACGCTTTTTAACCAAAATGTGTCGAGTTTGGTATCAAATTGAAGGAAATTTTAAATCCTATCGATTCATACTTGAAGTAATAAAAAATATTTTGTTTTTAATTTGTCAAAAAATGGTAATAAAAATAATAACTTTGATAATTTTTGTCAAAAACGCGTCGAATTTGTTATAAAAATGAAAAAATTAAATTAATTTGATTTTTTTTTCAAAGTGGTAATAATAACAATGATAATAATAATAATGGAGATGACAACAAAATTGGTTTTAATCGATTCGAAATTGAATTTCCTTTAAAAAGAGTCCAAACTCGATGTGTTTATCTCGTTTATTCGTTGAGATATCAATCGATTTAATCGAGTTATTATCAAAAATGGCGGATTATTGTTTTTTTATTACAACTTTAACGCTTTTTAACCGAAATGCGTCGAGTTTGGTATCAAATTGAAGGAAATTTCAAATCCTATCGATTCATACTTGAAACAATAAAAAATATTTTGTTTTTAATTTGTCATAAAAAGGTAATAAAAATAATAACTTTGATAATTTTTATCAAAAACGCGTCGAATTTGTTATAAAAATGAAAAAATTAAATTAATTTGATTTTTTTTCAAAATGGTAATAATAACTATGATAATAATAATAATCGAGATTAGCACAAAATTGGTTTTAATCGATTCGAAATTGAATTTCCTTTAAAAAGAGTCCAAACTCGATGTGTTTATCTCGTTTATTCGTTGAGATATCAATCGATTTAATCGAGTTATTATCAAAAATGGCGGATTATTGTTTTTTTATTACAACTTTAACGCTTTTTAACCGAAATGCGTCGAGTTTGGTATCAAATTGAAGGAAATTTCAAATCCTATCGATTCATACTTGAAACAATAAAAAATATTTTGTTTTTAATTTGTCATAAAAAGGTAATAAAAATAATAACTTTGATAATTTTTATCAAAAACGCGTCGAATTTGTTATAAAAATGAAAAAATTAAATTAATTTGATTTTTTTTCAAAATGGTAATAATAACTATGATAATAATAATAATCGAGATTAGCACAAAATTGGTTTTAATCGATTCGAAATTGAATTTCCTTTAAAAAGAGTCCAAACTCGATGTGTTTATCTCGTTTATTCGTTGAGATATCAATCGATTTAATCGAGTTATTATCAAAAATGGCGGATTATTGTTTTTTTATTACAACTTTAACGCTTTTTAACCGAAATGCGTCGAGTTTGGTATCAAATTGAAGGAAATTTCAAATCCTATCGATTCATACTTGAAACAATAAAAAATATTTTGTTTTTAATTTGTCATAAAAAGGTAATAAAAATAATAACTTTGATCATTTTTATCAAAAACGCGTCGAATTTGTTATAAAAATGAAAAAATTAAATTAATTTGATTTTTTTTCAAAATGGTAATAATAACTATGATAATAATAATAATCGAGATGAGCACAAAATTGGTTTTAATCGATTCGAAATTGAATTTCCTTTAAAAAGAGTCCAAACTCGATGTGTTTATCTCGCTTATTCGTTGAGATATCAATCGATTTAATCGAGTTATTATCAAAAATGGCGGATTATTATTTTTTTTATTACAACTTTAACGCTTTTTAACCGAAATGCGTCGAGTTTGGTATCAAATTGAAGGAAATTTCAAATCCTATCGATTCATACTTGAAACAATAAAAAATATTTTGTTTTTAATTTGTCATAAAAAGGTAATAAAAATAATAACTTTGATAATTTTTATCAAAAACGCGTCGAATTTGTTATAAAAATGAAAAAATTAAATTAATTTGATTTTTTTTCAAAATGGTAATAATAACTATGATAATAATAATAATCGAGATTAGCACAAAATTGGTTTTAATCGATTCGAAATTGAATTTCCTTTAAAAAGAGTCCAAACTCGATGTGTTTATCTCGTTTATTCGTTGAGATATCAATCGATTTAATCGAGTTATTATCAAAAATGGCGGATTATTGTTTTTTTATTACAACTTTAACGCTTTTTAACCGAAATGCGTCGAGTTTGGTATCAAATTGAAGGAAATTTCAAATCCTATCGATTCATACTTGAAACAATAAAAAATATTTTGTTTTTAATTTGTCATAAAAAGGTAATAAAAATAATAACTTTGATAATTTTTATCAAAAACGCGTCGAATTTGTTATAAAAATGAAAAAATTAAATTAATTTGATTTTTTTTCAAAATGGTAATAATAACTATGATAATAATAATAATCGAGATTAGCACAAAATTGGTTTTAATCGATTCGAAATTGAATTTCCTTTAAAAAGAGTCCAAACTCGATGTGTTTATCTCGTTTATTCGTTGAGATATCAATCGATTTAATCGAGTTATTATCAAAAATGGCGGATTATTGTTTTTTTATTACAACTTTAACGCTTTTTAACCGAAATGCGTCGAGTTTGGTATCAAATTGAAGGAAATTTCAAATCCTATCGATTCATACTTGAAACAATAAAAAATATTTTGTTTTTAATTTGTCATAAAAAGGTAATAAAAATAATAACTTTGATAATTTTTATCAAAAACGCGTCGAATTTGTTATAAAAATGAAAAAATTAAATTAATTTGATTTTTTTTCAAAATGGTAATAATAACAATGATAATAATAATAATCGAGATGAGCACAAAATTGGTTTTAATCGATTCGAAATTGAATTTCCTTTAAAAAGAGTCCAAACTCGATGTGTTTATCTCGCTTATTCGTTGAGATATCAATCGATTTAATCGAGTTATTATCAAAAATGGCGGATTATTATTTTTTTTATTACAACTTTAACGCTTTTTAACCGAAATGCGTCGAGTTTGGTATCAAATTGAAGGAAATTTCAAATCCTATCGATTCATACTTGAAACAATAAAAAATATTTTGTTTTTAATTTGTCATAAAAAGGTAATAAAAATAATAACTTTGATAATTTTTATCAAAAACGCGTCGAATTTGTTATAAAAATGAAAAAATTAAACTAATTTGATTTTTTTTCAAAATGGTAATAATAACTATGATAATAATAATAATCGAGATTAGCACAAAATTGGTTTTAATCGATTCGAAATTGAATTTCCTTTAAAAAGAGTCCAAACTCGATGTGTTTATCTCGTTTATTCGTTGAGATATCAATCGATTTAATCGAGTTATTATCAAAAATGGCGGATTATTATTTTTTTATTACAACTTTAACGCTTTTTAACCGAAATGCGTCGAGTTTGGTATCAAATTGAAGGAAATTTTAAATCCTATCGATTCATACTTGAAGTAATAAAAAATATTTTTTTTTTATTTGTCATAAAAAGTTAATAAAAATAATAACTTTGATAATTTTTATCAAAAACGCGTCAAATTTGTTATAAAAATGAAAAAATTAAATTAATTTGATTTTTTTTCAAAATGGTAATAATAACTATGATAATAATAATAATCGCGATAAGCACAAAATTGGGTTTAATCGATGCGAAATTAAATTTCCGTTAAAAAGAGTCCAAACTCGATGTGTTTATCTCGCTTATTCGATGAGATATCAATCGATTTAAATGAGTTATTATCAAAAATGGCGGATTACTATTTTTTTATTACAACTTTAACGCTTTTTAACCGAAATACGTCGAGTTTGGTATCAAATTGAAGGAAATTTTAAATTCTATCGATTCTTACTTGAAGTAATAAAAAAAAATTTGTTTTTAATTTGTCAAAAAGTGGTAATAAAAATAATAATTTGAATAATTTTTATCAAAAACGCGTCGAATTTGTTATAAAGATGAAAAAATTAAACTAATTTGATTTTTTTTCAAAATGGTAATAATAACTATGATAATAATAATAATCGAGATTAGCACAAAATTGGTTTTAATCGATTCGAAATTGAATTTCCTTTAAAGAGAGTCCAAACTCGATGTGTTTATCTCGTTTATTCGTTGAGATATCAATCGATTTAATCGAGTTATTATCAAAAATGGCGGATTATTATTTTTTTATTACAACTTTAACGCTTTTTAACCGAAATGCGTCGAGTTTGGTATCAAATTGAAGGAAATTTCAAATCCTATCGATTCATACTTGAAGTAATAAAAAATATTTTGTTTTTAATTTGTCAAAAAATGGTAATAAAAATTATAATTTGAATAATTTTTATCAAAAACGCGTCGAATTTGTTATAAAAATGAAAAAATTAAATTAATTTGATTTTTTTTTCAAAATAGTAATAATAACAATGATAATAATAATAATAGATAACGCTTTTTAACCGAAATGCGTCGAGTTTGGTATCAAATCGAAGGAAATTTCAAATCCTATCGATTCATACTTGAAGTAATAAAAAATATCACAAAACGTGACGTCACATCGAAACATTAATCTGATTTTTCGGTTAGTTCTAAACTTTTCCGCATTTTAACGTGTTTTTTGGGTCATTTCACATCAATAAAAAAAAATCGTTGGATTTTTAACCCACACGATGATTCTTAAATTTTTCCTTATTTTTTTTTGGTACTAACCTCGTGAGCATAAACAAATTCGTTCGATGTTTCAATCGGAATTACGCTATCATCAGAACCCCAATTATTACTAAAACTAAATCCATGGACGATATCGAATTGTCCTTTTAATTCGTTGATTAAAACCGCGATATTTTCGTGGGTATAATCGGGGTAATAAACGTCCAAATCGAAATAAGTCCCATTTTGGGATTCCGTTTCATTCTTTGCGTAAAACAAATCATTTTCGGAGGAAATATCGAAGAGGGTGCTTAATTTTGGGATCTATTAAATCGAATTTTGATTAAAACTTTGTTAATAAAGTACAAATTAACTTACATGGGGAAAAATCGTCATAATAAATTTAGTTTCCTCATTTAAGGTTAAATTCGTCTCGGATAATGTCTCATTTATCATCATAAAATATAAATTTTCATCGAAACAATCAGATTCATATCGTAAATTATAAATCGCTGATTTTTCCTGGAATTCATCGTAAAATTGTTGGGCATCTTCAACGTTTTTACTCCCCGATCTAAATTAATTAAGACAATTAAGTGCGACATCTCTGAATCAGAAGCGGAATTATTATTTTAAATTTTACCTGCAAATATGAGGCCCTAAAACCCATTTTTCTGGTACTTGGTAATTATTTTGTTTGTAAAAGAATTTCGCGATATCCTCCGGGGTTGGCCCCACGTGCAAAGTGAAATTAATTCTCCTCTTTCCAATCGCTCTTAAGATAATAAGTCGCGATGGTAAAACGGATATCTCAAGGGGGCCATCATAATCGATTAAAAATCCGTGAAATTTGCCTTCTTGGTACGCGATAAAACCAGGAATAGTCGTGTGATCGTCTCCGTTGTGATAAATAATCTTGTTGTAAGTTTCGTTTGAGTTAAAATATAATTGATCTAACCCAAAAAGGTGTTGCCCCAAATAAAACGTTATTTCCATATAATTTTGGGTCGAAATTAGCGGCCCCAAACTTGAAGTTAGCAACAATTTTTGCGAATTAATTCTTTTTACGTTTATCTCTAACTTATTTGAATCCTTTTCTATTGTATACATCAAATTTTTTTCTTTTTGGTTCGAATTAAATGCATCATTTTGATCGTTACTTAACCGTATGTTAACGTGATCGCTTCCTTCGTTATAAAAAACGTAAACATTTCGATCTAACGCCGTTAAAAAAGGGCTTTGTTCCAAATTGGCTTTATCTTTCGTGTAAAAGTACCGAGAAGGTAACGAATGGAAACATTCTCGGGTGAAATCGTCAAAACAACACGATAAACTCACACAATTTCCTCGTGCTTTTGAATCGGTTAGATTTAAATTTCCGCATTTAACTCGAAACGTTGAGTTAACCGAGCACGTCTCGATCGAGGTTATAATCGGTAATTGTTGATGAAATAGGAAAAAATAGCACAAAATTGGAACCGTTAGTGCAAAAATCCAGACGAAAATCATCAATTGGTTGCGACGATTTAAAAAAAACGCTAAATATGGGTTCACTTTTGGTAACTTTGATTTTAAATTCGTCGATTCATCTTCAGCGCGGTTATTTCGCTCGATGAAAGTGATGTTATTCTGATTTGAATCCATTTTTGAACTTATTTTACTTTAATCACTAAACACTAACTAAAATAACGAAGCTAGCTGACAAGATGTTGTTTGATTGTTGATAATAATCCGATGGGTTATCAATAATGATAAGATAATTTAAAGAATACGCATGAGACAATATCGATAATCAACGGAAGTTTAAAAAATTAGGAGATAAAGAGATAGTGGTTTCCGTTTAGAAATGTATTTGTGTAACGTTTTGATTAATAACACTTAAAATTGACTGAATTAAAAAAGTTAGGTTACTCATAAACAATTCAAGTTCAAATTGTTCTTAATTAACTTATTTTTATAATAAAATTTTATTATTTTAGGAAGAACTGTCAAAGTGACGTTCTGAAACGTCAAAAATACGATTTAGCACCGCTAGATGGGGGTGACTCACTTTTTGTATTAACATAATTATTTAAATAAATCAAATAAGATTTAAATAAACACTAACCTTTAAAATTTGACGAATTTTTCTGGATAATCCGATGACGATGTTGGCGAACTTGAGATTCTAAAAATTAAAAGAAAAGGATTAGAACATAAAATGACTCTAAAATGTGATGATATGATATTTAAGCACTTATTACAATGAGTTTCTTGAATTGATTTTAACTTAATAATAATAATTATTATTATTATTATAAAATAAAGTTGGAATAATGAAATTGGAGAAACGTTTGTATCGAAACTAGCGCCATCTATGAAGAAATCGATAAATTTTATCTCATTAAAGTGATTATTTAAATTTTGATATGGGAAAAATGAAGAAAATTAATAAAAATGCTTAAATTAATAGCATTAACTTTTTAAATTTAATTAAAAAGTTAAATAATTATACTTTATGGTAAAAACTTACTTGGTGATGAGGTTATGAAAACCTTGAAGAAAAAATGTAAACATTTCGGGTTGAAATTTTCTATTTCCACCAATAAAAAATGTTTTTAAATCAACTATGAGATATAATAATCGTTCTAATACACCACATATATAGAAACACCCCGATTTTAACTTAATAATTTATGAAATAAAGTTGGGATAACGAAATTGGAGAAACGTCAAAATTGTTCGTATCGAAACTAGCGCCATCTATGAAGAAATCGACAAACTTGATTAGGTAATTATTTAATCTTTTATACGAAAAAAATAAATAAGATGAATCAAAAATGATTAAGTTATATATAAAATGACCGTGAACATTTAAATTTAATTAAAAACTTACTTGGTGTTGAGTTTATGAAAACCTTGAAAGAAAACTATGAACATTTCGGGTTGAAATCTTTTATTTCCGCCAATAAAAAATGTTTTAAAATCAATTAGGAGATATAATAATCGTTCTAATACACAGCATATATAGAAACACTCCGATTTTAACTTAATAATTTATGAAATAATGTTGGGATAACGAAATTGGAGAAACGTCAAAATTGTTCGTATCGAAACTAGCGCCATCTATGAGAAAATCGACAAACTTTATTGAGTGATTATTTAATCTTTTATACGAAGAAAAAAAAATAAGATGAATCAAAAATGATTAAATTATATATAAAATAACCGTTAAAGGTTAAATTTCATTAAAAAGTTAAATAATGTTATCGTAAAAACTTACTTGGTGTTGAGGTTATGAAAACCTTGAAAGAAAACTATAAACATTTCAGGTTGAAATCTTCTATTTCCGCCAATGAAAAATGTTTTTAAATCAATTAGGAGGTATAATAATCGTTCTAATGTACAACATATATAGAAACATCCCGATTTTAACTTAATAATTATGAAATAAAGTTGGGATAACGAAATTGGAGAAACGTCAAAATTGTTCGTATCGAAACTAGCGCCATCTATGAAGAAATCGACAAACTTTTTTGGGTTGATTATTTAATCTATTATACGAAAAAAATAAATAAAATGAATCACAAATGATTAAATTATATATAAAATAACCGTTAAAGTTTAAATTTCATTAAAAAGTTAAATAATTTTATCGTAAAAACTTACTTGGTGTTGAGGTTATGAAAACCTTGAAAGAAAACTATAAACATTTCCGGTTGAAATCTTCTATTTCCGCCAATAAAAAATGTTTTTAAATCAATTAAGAGATATAATAATCGTTCTAATACACGACATATATAGAAACACCCCGATTTTAACTTAATAATTTATGAAATAAAGTTAGGATAACGAAATTGGAGAAACGTCAAAATTGTTCGTATCGAAACTAGCGCCATCTATGAAAAAATCGACAAACTTTATTGGGTGATTATTTAATCTTTTATACGAAAAAAATAAATAAGATGAATCAAAAATGATTAAGTTATATATAAAATGACCGTGAACGTTTAAATTTCATTAAAAACTTAAATAATGTTATCGTAAAAACTTACTTGGTGTTGAGTTTATGAAAACCTTGAAAGAAAACTATAAGCATTTCGGGTTGAAATCTTCTATTTCCGCCAATAAAAAATGTTTTTAAATCAATTAGGAGATATAATAATCGTTCTAATACACAGCATATATAGAAACACCCCGATTTTAACTTAATAATTTATGAAATAATGTTGGGATAACGAAATTCGAGAAACGTCAAAATTGTTCGTATCGAAACTAGCGCCATCTATGAGAAAATCGACAAACTTTATTGAGTGATTATTTAATCTTTTATGCGAAGAAAAAAAAATAAGATGAATCAAAAATGATTAAATTATATATAAAATAACCGTTAAAGTTTAAATTTCATTAAAAATTAATTAATGTTATCGTAAAAACTTACTTGGTGTTGAGGTTACGAAAACCTTGAAAGAAAACTAAAAACATTTCAGATGGAAATCTTCATATTTCGCCAATAAAAAATGTTTTTAAATCAATTTAGAGATATAATAATCGTTCTAATACACAACATATATAGAAATATGCCGATTATAACTTAATAATTTAAAAAATAAAGTTGGGATAATAAGATTGGAGAAACCTAAAAATTGTTCGTATCAAAACTAGCGCCATCTATGAAGAAATCGATAAACTTTATATAGTAATTATTTAAAATTTTATGTGAAAAATTAATAAAATTAATTAAAAGTAACTAATTATTGCTAAGAAAACGTTAATTTTTTAAATTTAATTCAAAAGTTAAGTAATTAAACTTTAACTTAAAAACGTACTTGGTGTTGAGGTTATAAAAACCTTCATAGAAAAATGTAAACATTTCAGGTTGAAATCTTCTACTTCCCCATAAAAAATGTCTTTATATCAATTAGGAGACATAATAAACGCACAAGTACGCAATGTATATAGCAACATTTCGATTTTATCTTAATACTTTATAAAATAAAATTAGGATAACAAAATTGGAGAAACGTCAAAGTTGTTTGTATCGAAACTGGCGCCATCTATGAAGGAATAGATGAACTTTATTGAATCAGATTAATTAGTTGCTAACTTTGTATAAACTTTAAAGTTTTTTAAATAAGCTAATTTAAAATTTAACAAACATTAAATAGACTTACCTCTGCATCTTTACTTTTTCTTGGTTACTTCCCTTTCATCGACTCGTTACTCGGAAATCTTCCCTTATTTTTCCCTAATAATAAAAATAAAATAAAATTAAAACAAAATAGGATATAAATTAAATTAAGGTTATAACAATAAAAACGACCAGCACATTAACTTCGTATCATTTTAATTTTAAAACTTATAAAATAAATCGAGCAAATACTGCAACATCGCCACCAACTGCATCATTAAATGCAAAATAAACGTCCCTATCTTAACAATATGTAAAACGACCGGAAGCATTCGAACACCCAGCGCTATCTTGCGGACGATTTCGAGAACATTCGAATTTTTTTTTCTCCCATCGCAAAATAATTATCATAAGCTATGCCAAACATTTCGATTAACGGCCCCAATTTTTTCATCGCCATCGATACATCATCTTTGATTTCACGTTTAAATAATCCGTTCCGTTCATTTTTATGATTTAAATTTAAATCGTTCTGATCCAACTCGATCCCTTCCTGGAATTTCCGGATGTAATGGTCGAAGTATTCGCTCAATAAATCGTCACAATTTCCGGTTAAATGGCACAAAACGTACGCGAAATACGGTTGGTATAGGAAAAGTAACAAAATGAGTCCTATTGTGATCACAGCGGATGTTATTAAGGTTAAAGTGAGAGGGAATTTTTTTGATGATTCTAATGATGTTGAATTGGGCGAATTTGACGATTTAATTAATTCGGCGTCGATAAGAATTGATTTGATTAAGATGATGAGGACGATTTGGGTTAAGAAAGTGAGTTTCATTCTAAAAAAATTCGGTTAATATTGATTTTGTTGGTTTTTACTTACTAAGGTGTTACTTGGTTGGAAGTTTTCGCTTAACTAAGATAATTTTGGGGGGTTTGGGTCAAAACTTTTTACCTGGAGTTGGAATTCTTGGAAGTTTTTACAAATCAAGTTAAAATAAGTGTTATTTCAAACCAAAAAGAATTTATCCCTGAGCGATTCGAAAAAAATAATAAAATTATTGCTAATAAATGTTAGCTTTCTAAATTTAATAAAAAAGTTAAATAATTAGACTTTATCTTAAAAACTTACTTAGGTTGAGGTTATGAAAATCTTAAAAGATAAATGTAAACATTTTGGGTTGAAACCTTCCATTTCCGTCCATAAAAAATGTTTTTATATCAATTAGGAGACATAATAAACGCACTAGTACGCAATGTATATAAAAACATCGCGATTTTAACTTAATAATTACAAAATAAAGCTACAATTATAAAATTGAAGAAACGTCAAAATTGTTTGTATCGAAACTAACGCCATCTATAAAGAAATCGATACACTTTATTGAGTGATCATGAAAAATATAAACCTGCTTCCGTTTTCAAAAATTATTATTATATCAATTAGGAGATTTAATAATCGTACTAGTACGCAATATATATAGAAATATTCCGATATTAATTAAATAATTAATAATAATAAAATAATTACAGAAACGCTAAAATTATTTGTATCGAAACTAGCGCCATCTATAAAGAAATCGATAAACTTTATTGATTGATTATTTAAAATTTTAAGTGAAAAATTAATAAAATTAATCAAAAGGAATTAAATTATTGCTAAGAAAACGTTAACTTTTTAAATTTAATTAAAAAGTTAAATAATTAGACTTTGTCTTAAAAACTTACTTGGTGTTGAGGTTATGAAAACCTTCATAAAAAAAATGTAAACATTTCGAGTTGAAATCTTCTAGTTCCGAACAACATAAAAAATGATTTTATATCAATTAGGAGACACAATAAACACACAAGTACGCAATGTATATAGAAATATCGCGATTTTAACTTAATAATTACAAAATAAAGTTGGAACTGTAAAATTGAAGAAACGTCAAAAGTGTTTGTATTGAAACTAGCGCCATCTATGAAGGAATCGACAAACTTTATTGGATGATTATTTAATCTTTTATACGAAAAAAATAAATAAAATGAATCAAAAATGATTAAACTATATATAAAATAACCGTTAATGTTTAAATTTCATTAAAAATTTAAATAATGTTATCGTAAAAACTCACCCAACCCAACCTCAACACCAAGGTTATGAAAACCTTGAAAGAAAACTATAAACATTTCTGGTTGAATTCTTCTATTGCCGCCAATAAAAAATGTTTTTAAATCAACTAGGAGATATAATAATCGTTGTAATACACAACATATATAGAAACATCCCGATTTTAACTTAATAATTTATACGATAAAATTGGGATAACAAAATTGGAGAAACGTCAAAATTGTTCGTATCAAAACTAGCGCTATCTATGAAGAAATCGACAAACTTTATTGAATGATTTAAAATTTTATGTGCGAAATTACTAAAATTAATCAAAAGTAATTAAATTATTGCTAAGAAATGTTGACTTTTTAAATTTAATAAAAAAGTTAAATAATTTGACTTTATCTTAAAAACTTACTTGGTATTGAGGTTATGAAAACCTTCATAGAAAAATGTAATCATTTTGGGTTGAAATCTTCTACTTCCGAACATAAAAAATGTTTTTATATCAATTAGGAGACACAATAAAAACACAAGTACGCAATGTATATAGAATTATAGCGATTTTAACTTAATAATTACAACATAAAGTTGCAATTATAAAATTGAAGAAACGTCAAGATTGCTTGTATCGAAACTAGCGCCATCTATGAAGGAATCGACAAACTTTATTGGGTGATTATTTAATCTTTTATACGAAAAAAAAAAATAAAATGAATCAAAAATGATTAAATTACATATAAAATAACCGTTAACGTTTAAATTTCATTAAAAAGTTAAATAATGTTATCGTAAAAACTTACACCAAGGTTATGAAAACCTTGAATGAGAACTATAAACATTTCGGATTGAAATCTTCTATTGCCGCCAATAAAAAATGTTTTTAAATCAACTAGGAGATATAATAATCGCTCTAATACACAACATATATAGAAACATCCCGATTTTAAGTTAATAAGTGTAAAATAAAGTTGGAATAGTAAAATTGGAGAAACGTCAAAATTGTTCGTATCAAACCTAGCGCCATCTATGAAGAAATCGACAAACTTTATTGGGTGATTATTTAATATTTTATACGAAAAAAATAAATAAAATGATTCAAAAACGATTAAATTATATATAAAATAACCGTTAAAGTTTAAATTTCATTAAAAAGTTAAATAATGTTATCGTAAAAACTTACTTGGTGTTGAGGTTCTGAAAACCTTGAAAGATAAATGTAAACATTTCGGATTGAAATCTTCTACTTCCGAACATAAAAATTGTTTTTATATCAATTAGGACACATAATAAACACAGAAGTACGCAGTGTATATAGAAATATCGCGATTTTAACTTAATAATTACAAAATAAAGTTGCAATTATAAAATTGAAGAAACGTCAAAATTGCTTGTATCGTAACTAGCGCCATCTATAAAGAAATCGATACACTTTATTGAGTGACCATGAAAAATATAAACATTTCGGGGTAAAACCTACTTCCGTTTTCAAAAATTATTACTATATCAATTAGGAGATATAATAATCTTGATTTAGCTTAATAATTACAAAATAATGTTGCAATAATAAAATTGGAGAAACGTCAAAATTGTTTGTATCAAAACTAGCGCCATCTATAAAGAAATCGATAAACTTTATTGACTGATTATTTAAAACGCCTTTAAAAAATGTTTTTGAATCAATTAGAAGTTATAATAATCGTTTTAATACACAATATTAATAGAAATATCTCGATTTTATCTTAATAATAATAAAATAAAGTTTTATTATAGAAACGTCAAAATTATTTGTATTCAAACTAGCGCCATCTACATATACAAAAATAGCTAAAAATATTTATTATTAAATTATTAACATTAAACGTAAATACGACGGTTTTAAGCGACTTTGAAACGTTTTATTCCTGCGCTGAACCGTGAAGATATTGATAAGTCGCCTTAAAAATATTTGGGGGGCAAAGAGCCATGTTGTTATTTTCGCTTTTTGTTAATGCAAAAATCTCATTAAATATCCTATTATTTAGGATTTTCCCCTACAATCAGTGTATTTCTCTTAAACAAATAGTTACCTTAACATCTTCATCCATTTCTTTTATCTAAAACAAATTAAAACATTAAAATCAATTCAAAATAATCATCTAAACCAACATTTATTCAAACTTATTAGGCTTAGAAAAAGCTTGTTAACTTTGATACGACATGTGAGGTAAAGCGTTGCGCAGAAGCGAGCCATCGCCAAAGTTCTACGTCAGTGGAAGCTTCTCCAGTCGATATCCCCACGACCCGACGACGTTTTAACGAACAAATCGTTCGTTTCTTTTCCATTTTCCCAACGAATTCTAATCGCAAAAAACTTTTTTTTTTAAACCAAAAAATTAATTTTTTAAATCGCAATTATTCAATAACAACAATAAATTGCAATCGAAATGTAAGTATAATTAATTTAGTTAATTTAATTTAATTTCGATCAATTTTTCGTTTAATTTTAGTCGTGCAAAATTTCGCGAATTAATTAGGATAATGAAAATGAATTTTTTTTGATTATTTTGATTCGTTGAAATATTGTTCTATGCGGGGGCGTCAAAATCGATTGCAAAATTTGGCGCAAGCGCAATATATTCCGCGTTAACTATCGCACATACATAGAAATATTGCAATTGTCGATTTGATTCCGTCTAAAAACACCCCGAATTTAAACGCACCTTAAAAAGCTTATTAAAAATTAAAAATCGTTTTTGTGATAACTACAAAATACCATGTGAGTATTAAAAAAGGCTTTCTCTAAAATTCCTTTTGGTTATTAACCAAATCTAGGTCAATTACTCCTTTTTAATCATAATCATTAAAAAAAATTTTAATCGCAAAAACGAAAATAATTCCTAAAATAACATTTATTTTGTTTATATCATCGCTTTTTGCGGTTTCGTTAGAAATAATTAACTTTTCTTATCTATGTAAATGTGCGGTTCGCAACGATATTTATTATAAGTTATTTTTAAACAAATTTTTACCTATGTATTATATTTATTATTATCGCTCGATATAAATTAATTCTTTACATTTCCCATTTTTTTTCGTGAAGGTCTACGGGAGAGAATTTAGGGGCTCCTGTCGGAGACGAAGGGATCGTTGGGGGGCCCAGAACGCCGCAGCAAGTGGCCGCCCAAAAACGGTTGCAACAAACCCAGGCGCAAGTTGATGAAGTCGTCGATATTATGAAGACGAACGTTGAGAAGGTTTTGGAGAGAGACCAGAAGCTATCGGAGTTGGATGACAGAGCTGGTAAGGAAATCTATAAATTAAAAAAAAATATTTTAGGTTATGAAAATTTTCCAAAAAAAAGTCAGTTTAGATTTAAATCGCTTTCTAAATGATTAGGGTCGCTTAATCGTGGTTCTAGTACACAATTACGATAAAAATATCCCAATTTTTAATTAAAATTGATAAAATAAAGTTAATAATAAAATTGGAAATGTCAAAATTGTTTGTATCGAAAGTAGTGCCATCTATGGTGAAATCGATCAATTTTATTGAGTGGTTCAATTAATGTTAAAAAAACTTTTAAGATGAACTTAGGAATTAGACTTTATATTAAAAACTTACTTGGTTTTAGGGTTATGACAACCTTGAAAGAAAATTTTAACTTTTCGGGTTGAAATCTTCTATTTCCGCCTACAAAATATGTTTTTAAATCAATTGGAGAAACGTCAAAATTGTTTGTATCGAATCTAGCGCCATCTGTGAAGAAATTGATAAAATTTATTGAGTGATTATTATAAAATGAATTAAAAGTAATTAAATTATTGTTAAGGAAACGTTAACTTTTTATATTTAATAAAAAAGTTAAATAACTAGACTTTATCTTAAAAACTTACTTGGTGTTGAGGTTATTATGAAAAATGTAAGCATTTCGGGTTGAAACGCTCCATTTCCGCTATTAAAAACCACTTTTATATCAATTAGGAGACATAATAAACACACAAGTTCGCAATGTATATAGAAATATCGCGGTTTTAACTTAATAATTACAAAATAAGTTGCAATCATAAGTTACAGAAACGTCAAGATTGTTTCTATCGATACTAGCGCCATCTATAAAGAAATCGATACACTTTATTGAGGATCATGAAAAATATAAACATTTCGGGGTGAAACCTACTTCCGTTTTCACATATCAATTGGGGATTTAATAATTGTACTAGTACGCAATATATATAGAAATATCCCGATTTGAATTAAATAATTAATAATAAAATAATTACAGAACGTCAAAATTGTTTGTATCGAAACTAGCGCCATCTATGGAGAAATCGATAAACTTTATTAATTGATTATTTAAAATTTTATGTGAAAAATTAATGAAATTAATAAAAAGTAATTAAATTATTGCTAAGAAAACGTTCACTTTTTAAATTTAATTAAAAAGTTAAATAATTAGATTTTATCTTAAAAACTTACTTGGTGTTGAGGTTATGAAAATCTTGAAAGAAAAATGTAAGCATTTCGGGTTGAAACGCTCCATTTCCGCTATTAAAAACCACTTTTACATCAATTAGGAGACATAATAAACACACAAGTTCGCAATGTATATAGAAATATCGCGGTTTTAACTTAATAATTACAAAATAAGTTGCAATCATGAAATTAAAGAAACGTCAAGATTGTTTCTATCGATACTAGCGCCATCCATAAACAAATCGATACACTTTATTGAGTAATCATGAAGAATATAAAATTGCTTCCGTTTTCAGAAATTATTATTATATCAATTAGGAGATTTAATAATCGTTCTAGTACGCAATATATATAGAAATATTCCGATTTTAATTAAACAATTAATAAAATAATTACAGAAACGTCAATATTGTTTGTATCGAAACTAGCGCCATCTATGAAGAAATCGATTAACTTTATTGATTGATTATTTAAAATTTGATGTGAAAAATTAATTAAATTAATCAAAAGTAACTCATTATTATTGCTAAGAAAGCGTTAAATTTTTAAATTTAATTAAAAAGTTAAATAATTAGACTTTATCTTAAAAACTTACTTGGTGTTGAGGTTATTGAAACCTTCATAGAAAAATGTAAACATTTCGGGTTGAAATCTTCTACTTGAGCTCATAATAAATGTTTTTATATCAATTAGGAGACATAATAAACACACAAGTGCGCAATGTATATAGAAACATCACGATTTTAACTTAATAATTACAAAATAAAGTTGTGATTATAAGATGAAAGATCTGTCAAAATTGCTCGTATCGCAACTAGCGCCATCTATGAAGGTATCGATAAACTTTATTAAGCGATTATGAAAAATATAAATATTTCGGGCTGCTATAATATTCTTCTCTATAATATATTCAGATATATCTTGATTTAGCTTAATAATTATAAAATAATGTTGCAATAATAAAATTGGAGAAACGTCAAAAGTGTTTGTATCGAAACTAGAGCCATCTATGATGAAATCGATAAACTTTATTGACTGATTATTTAAAATCTTCTACTTACGCCCATAAAAAATATTGTTAAATCAATTAGGAGTTATAATAATCGTTCTAATACACAACATTAATAGAAATATCTCGGTTTTAGCTTAATATTTATGAAATAAAGTTTTATTATAGAAACGTCAAAATTATTTGTATTGAAACTAACGCCATCTATATGTAGAAAAATTGCCAAACACATTTATTATTAAATTATTAACATTAAACTTAATTTAATTATTTTTTTATTATCTTTCAGATGCTTTGCAACAAGGAGCTTCACAATTTGAGCAACAAGCCGGAAAATTGAAAAGAAAGTTTTGGTTGCAAAACTTAAAGGTAAATCAAACAAATCAGCAAAACAAATTTTTTAATTTATTCTTTTTAGATGATGATAATCATGGGAGTTATCGGCCTGGTGATTCTTGTCATTATAATCAGTAAGTATACATTAACCTTAACTTTTTGAGTAACAATACATGATTCTTGAGAGTCATTTAATCCATCCAAGTTATTACAGAGTGCAAAGAAATAATGAATTTCTTATAAACAAAGTATTTTTTTTATAGCAAATTTCGTGTAAAATCATCATCGAAAATGTAATAAAGCGTTAGGTAAATAGAAACCCCCTAAAAAGTGGTCGTCGTGGTGATGTGAAAGTCTTTAGAACCCCCATAAAATGGAAATTATTGTTTTTGTTTAATTTTTGTTTGTATTTCTAAGCATGTGCAGAAAAGAATGTTGTGTTCGTTCGTTTTAGAGGTTGAAATTGAAACAATCGGTGTTTTAATTGTTGTTTATTTTTTTTTTCAGTGAAATTTATGCCAGAAAATAACCCACCGCCTGTACAATACGCGCCGCCCCCGCAAATGCAATATCCGCCACAGCAGGCGCCGGCAGCTACGCCACCCCCGGCCACCAGCGGCTAAACGAGATTACACCCACTCGGAAAACCTAATTAAATTAAAAAAAAATTAAAAATAAATCTACACGCCACCATCAACACCAAAAAATAAAAACTTTTCTCGTCTTACAACTTGTAAGTTGCAAATCAAGTAAGCAAGAAAAGAACAATTAACAAAAGAATTAAATAAGGCGGAGCTCGTTTTTCTTTTTTGTTTAAAAAAATACAACACGTTTTGACATGCTACGATTTAACTGTGGTTATTTAAACAAAAAATTAATACTAAGAAAGTAACTAAACTATTTATATTATTAATCTAACCAAAAAAATGCATCTTTTTGGTTTATTGGTAAAAAATCGGAAAAAAGGATTAAAAAATGGGTTGATATAAATAATGTAACAAAAAGAGTGAGAAAATGGAAAAGGGAAGTAATAAATATGTTGTAGATTTCTTCTTGGATATAGAAAAGAAAGAAAATGTTTTTGCGATTATTTTGGTTTCCGCGTAAAAATTACTAAGAAAAAACTGTATAAAGTACGTTATAATTGTATTATTGATTAATTAATTAATTAATTATGTAAGGTTAAGATCTCTATTGTCACTATTTATTGAATAAATAGTAGTATTGAAATGACGTTTTAATATCCCTTCAAATTTAAATTGACATTTCGTTACCAGCGCCATCTAATGGAGATTTAAAAAAAAATAAATCCCATCATTAATTATCATAAATTGTTCACGTTAATTTTCAATCAATTTTTAACAAATTTAATAAGCTTGAAATCTTGGTAAAAAATGCTCCCGATTTATTAACAATAATAATTAATAATAATTATTAATTTCATGTTTCATGGTAAGATGGTTCTACTTTACCGACATATTTACGTTTGAACTGTCATTGTCAAAATGTTAAAGTTGGGTTGAAAAAGAATTCATTATTTTTATAACTTTATCAATTTTAACGCAGTTATAACTTATTTTAAGGTAACGATTAATATTAATGAAGAGAACTCAAAAAAATTTTGAGATTAGCTTTGTTGTTTTAGGATTTTTTTATAATCAAAGCTGAGAAATGGTGAATTATAAAAATCAATGGGTAAAGTATCTTTTTTCTCAATTAAATGTAAATAAAAATCGTTTCTTTGAAGTTTGCTAAATTCGGTCACGATTGCGACATAAAATTGGCCAAAGAAGAACAATTACCGATGTTTCGAATGGATGGAAGCATATTGTTACAAATAAAGAATCGTATTATTCGTTCGATGATGGCCTCGGAGGTAAATTTACGAGGAAATCGAATTTTGCGGAGCCAAAAAGCCGTCCATGAGGAGCATATCAAGCAAATGAAATATCCTTATATCATTCATCCGTTTAGTACGGTGAGGTAAAATATTACATTTATTTTTATTATTACTCCTCGATTTAGATTTAAATCTTTGACGCATGGCATAACCTCAAAAATTTCTAGTTTTAGTTTTATTTTTAATGCAAAATGAATTCAAATAACTTTTTTTTTATTAAAACCTCAAAATACCATGTCATTTGAAAGTGAGGTTAGGTTGTGTTATTAACCTGATGTCAATGGTTATTGATAAATCACCATGGCAACCGCAGGGTTGAAAACTTTTAAACAGAAAATTATTTTAATCACAAAATTTTTTGACTTTTTTGTAGATGTAATAAGAAATAAAACTAAAACTAGGAATTTTGAGGTTATGTCGTGCGTCTTTGACAAAGTCTTTGTGCAAAATGAGTTTTTAACGTTAAAATACAATGTCATTGCAAAGTGAGGTTAGGTTGTGTTATTAAACTCAGGTTCTTCAACATCATTTTCGAGTAACAACACGGGCGTTTTCGAAGACATCGGCCGCCCTAGCCATCCCGGACGTTACAACATTAAGAACCTTCAGTTCTTGGGGGCGGCCGACGTCTTCGAAGTCGGCCAAGTTCATTTCTTGTTACAAAGTACCCCTCGATTTAGATTTAAGTCTTTGACGTACGGCATAACCTCAAAAATTTCTGGTTTTAGTTTTATTTCTGACGCAAAATGAGTTGAATACATTTTTTTTAATTAAAACGTCAAAGTGCATTGTCATTTGAAAGTGAGGTTAGGTTGTATTATTTAAGTGAGGTTAGGAAACTTCTACATCATTTTCTAGTACCAACACGGCCGTTTTCGAAGACATCGGCCGCCCCCGGCCATCCCAGGGGCTACAACATTAAGAACCTTCAGTTTTTGGGGCCGAAGTTTACTTTTTGTTATAAAGTACTCCTCGATTTAGGTTTAATTCTTTGACGCACGGCATAACCTCAAAATTTTTAGTTTTATTCATTAAAAAAATTGATTGTATGTACTTACTCCGCCTTAAAAATTGTGTTTCTCCTTCATTTAATGCGAAATTGTTTAATATAACCCTGATAATTTTGATAAAACTTTCTCTTGATGCAACAAGTGGTTTTTATTTAAAGATGTCGGCGCTTATTGATTAATCACCATGGTAACGGCAGGATTGAAAACTTTTAAACACAAAATTATTTTAATCGCAAAATTTTTAGACTTATCTTCCGATGTAATAAGAAATAAAATTAAAACTAGAAATTTTTGAGTAAAATACGGGTAAACGCAAAATGAGTTGAATTAAATTCTTTTTTAATTAAACGTTAAAAATGTCATTTGAAAAGGACGCAGATAGATGGCGCTATCTATAATACGTCAAATATTTTGTGTTAATTTAAAACCACGTTTTCATAATATTAATAGATATAATCTTTATTTATAGGAAAAATTGGGAAATAATAATGTTGGTGACTTTTTTAACGGTTTTTCTAACAATCCCTTTGGACGTTGCATCCTACGCATTTCCTTTAAAGAATAATTTAAACCAGTGGACGCATTGGAAGTGTTTTCGCTTTATTTGCGACATGACGTGTTTTTTGGACGTTTTTGTTAACTTCTTCACCGGTTATGTTGATGATAAAAATCATATCATCGAGATGGATCCAAAAAAAATCGCCAGGTAATTTTAATTTAATATTTTTCTACTTTACCAACATTTTTTTTGCATCTTTTAGCCACTATGCAAGAACTTTTTTCTTACCCGACTTTTTCTCATCACTCCCATCCCACGTCGAATTACTCGTTTACACTGAACGAGATGAAACTTCGATATCAATGGAAGGAATTTTCCATTATTGTTCGTTGTTGAAAGTGTTTCGAGTTGCTACTTTTACGAATTATTGCCGAAGATTTAGCATGGAAATGAAAATTAATTTTATAACGTATCAAGCTTCGATGAGCGTGCTTTGTTATCTCCTTTTTTTTCACATTTTGGCGTGTTTTGGAATGATTTTCGTTGGATTATCTGGGGTGCATCATAAAGTTTACAACACGAATTACGATTATTGGTCGTATTATGTGGTGTGGCCCCAAGTGAATAGTACGAGAGTCATCGATTTTTCCGAGGGGTACTTATTAATGTTGCGCCAATCGAGTTATATTGGAACTTTCGCTTATTTAGATGATTTTGTTGATGCGTCTTTACCCCATTGGTACATATTTCTCGTTTGGTGCATTGCCAAATTGGTTTTTTTTTATTACATTGGTAAATAAGATTGATTAATTTAATATGGGATTACTTAATAATTAATTTTAGGCCGATTAATGCAAGTTTTGGCGATTTCGAGATCATCCTCGAAGAAATACCAAGAAATGTTGCGCGAATTAAAAGAATACATGATGCATAAACAATTACCGATGTCTTTGCAATCGCGATTAATGCAATATTACGAATTTCGGTTCCAACGAAGTTATTTCAAAGAGGTGGAGATTCTCAGAACCGTATCTGGGCAATTAAAACAAGTAAATTACACCTTTTTGGGTTATTTACTCATTAATTTGATTTATTTTAAAAGGACCTTCAAATACACAGCTGTCGAATGATCGTGGAACGGGTTGAATTCTTCAAAGCGATGCCGATGGGTTTAATAATGCAGATAGTGAGTGCGTTACAAACCGAAATTTACATGGTAAATGACGTCGTTGTTAAAGCAAAATCACCAGGGACTTGTATGTTTTTTATCTCATCTGGATGTGTAGCATGTTACACAAGAAATGGGGTTGAGGTAACAAAAACCTTTTTAATGAATTCATTTTTAAACGTAAACTTAGTTGATTCATTTAAGCGATGGTGATTATTTTGGCGAACTCCCGTTAATACATGGTACAGCTAGCAGCCGCGAATGGAATGTTATTGCGGTTGAAACGTGCGAATTATACCGTTTTGATTACGACGATTTCCTAAAAATAATCGCCCCACATTCTGAGTATTTAGATAAAATCACGCAACACGCCCAACAAAGATTCGAAATATTGCAATTTTACGAGTCTCGGTATCAAAATATTAATTCAGTTCGTGGCACTTTCGCATAAATAAATCAAAAAAAAATTTAATTCCTGTTTAATTATTGTAAGATAAAACTTCGAATTCTAAAAATCTAGCTGAAGACCCATCATCGTTCCAAATGAATAATCCTTTGTAATCGTGGGCGTAAAGTTCGACTTTTCCAGCGCGAAATTCGTTTTGATGAAACACCCTTCCAATGTACCAACGGATTCCACCTTGATATCCACCTTCAATGAGGCGATCTTCTAGTCGTAAAGGTAAAGCATCCACGTGGATTCGTTCCCAAGATAATTTTGATTCATTTTTTGAACATAAAATCTAAAAATAATTCAATAATTAAGTTGGATTAAATTAAAAATGTTTTTATTTTGAGGTTATATGTCAAATTTAAAAAATTATAACCAACCTTAAAAAAAAAATTACTAAAATTGACATTAACCTCAAAATTTTATTTTACCCTAATATGTTCTTTTAATTCAAATTTTCCAAAATACTCGGAAATAAAAATCTTTTTTTTGGGATAAATTGTTCCGGGGGTTAAAAAACCTTGATAAATGGCTTGCCCGATGTATGTTTCAGGGGAAGATCCAGAAATTCCGGCTTTTATGGCATCTTTGGGTAAGTTTCCTTTAAAATCTCTCCAATAAACATCTTTTTCTAACCAAAAAATAACTTTAATTGAAGTGTTTAATAATAATAACGATTAATACCTGTTGATTTAGTCGACACAATTAAAATTAAAAAGTAAATAACGTTCCTGAAATGTTTAAACAATAATTAATATAAGATGAATTAATTTTTAGTGTTGGCTCACCGTAACATGTTGATTTAACAATAAGTTGTTTTTAGCAAGGATATCAAGGTTATTTTAAATCGTTTCCGTGAACTTGTTAACCTTTAAAATTAACGTTTTATTCAAAAATTAATTCCACTTTTTATTATAAATGAATTAAAGTATTAATAACAAGCTTTAAACTCGTAGTGACATCTAGTGGTTAATTAGCTGTCAATGTCAAAGACATTTAAAAAGAAAATGTGAAAAATCGGTTATTAATATCATTTAATTCACTTTTTAATTTAATTAAATTAACATTTTATTTAAGAATTAATTTCACTTTTAATTATAAATAAAATAATTATTTTTAATTAGAAAATTTAAACTCGTAGTGACATCTAGTGGTTAATTAGCTGTCAATGTCTAAGACGTTTAAAAAGAAAATGTAAAAAATCAGTTATTATTATCATTTAATTAACTTGTTAATTTAATTAAATTAACATTTTGTTTAAAATTAATTCCACTTTTAATTATAAATAAATTAAATTATTAATAACAAGCTTTATAACTCCTAGCGACATCTAGTGGTTAATTAGCTGTCAATGTCTAAGACGTTTAAAAAGAAAATGTAAAAAATCTATTATTATTATTAGCATTTAATTAATTTGTCAATTAAATTAAATTAACATTTTATTTAAAAATTCATTCCACTTTTAATTATAAATAAAATAATTATTCTTAATTAGAAAATTTAAGCTCGTGGTGACATCTAGTGGTTAATTAGCTGTCAATATTTAAGACGTTTAAAAAGAAAATGTAAAAAAATTAGTTATTATTATCATTAAATTAACTTGTTAATTTAATTAAATTAACATTTTATTTAAGAATTAATTCCATTTTTAATTATAAATAAACTAAATTATTAATAACAAGGTTTAAACTCCTAGTGACATCTAGTGGTTAATTAGCTGTCAATGTCTAATCGTAAGACGTTTAAAACAGAAAATGTAAAAAATTAGTTATTATTATCATTTAATTAACTTGTTAATTTAATTAAATTAATATTTTATTTAAAAATTAATTCCATTTTAAATAATATAATAATAATATTTTAATTAAATTATTAATAACAAGCTTTATAACTTCTAGTGACATCTAGTGGTTAATCAGCTGTCAATGTCTAACGATAAGACGTTTAAAAAGAAAATGTAAAAAATTAGTTATTATTATCATTTAATTCGTTTGTTAATTAAATTAAATTAACATTTTATTTAAAAATTAATTCCACTTTTAATTATAAATAAAACAATTATTCTTAATTAAAACATTTAAACTCGTAGTGACATCTAGTGGTTAATTAGTTGTCAATATTTAAGACGTTTAAAAAAAAAATGTAAAAAATTAGTTATTATCATTTAATTAACTTGGTAATTTAATTAAATTAACATTTTATTTAAAATTAATTCCACTTTTAATTATAAATAAATTAAATTATTAATAACAAGCTTTATAACTCCTAGCGACATCTAGTGGTTAATTAGCTGTCAATGTTTAAGACGTTTAAAAAGAAAATGTAAAAAAATCAGTTATTATTATCATTTAATTAACTTGTTAATTTAATTAAATTAACATTTTATTTAAAAATTAATTCCACTTTTAATTATAAATAAAACAATTATTCTTAATTAGAACATTTAAACTCGTAGTGACATCTAGTGGTTAATTAGTTGTCAATGTCTAAGACGTTTAAAAAGAAAATGTAAAAAATTTGTTATTATTATCATTTAATTAACTTGATAATTTAATTAAATTAACATTTTGTTTAAAATTAATTCCACTTTTAATTATAAATAAAACAATTATTCTTAATTACAAAATTTAAGCTCGTAGTGACATCTAGTGGTTAATTAGCTGTCAATGTCTAAGACGTTTAAAAAGAAAATGTAAAAAATCAATTATTATTATTATCATTTAATTAATTTGTTAATTAAATTAAATTAACATTTTATTTAAAAATTAATTCCACTTTTAATTATAAATAAAACAATTATTCTTAATTAAAACATTTAAACTCGTAGTGACATCTAGTGGTTAATTAGTTGTCAATGTCTAAGACGTTTAAAAAGAAAATGTAAAAAATTAGTTATTATTATCATTTAATTAACTTGCTAATTTAATTAAATTAACATTTTGTTTAAAATTAATTCCACTTTTAATTATAAATAAATTAAATTATTAATAACAAGCTTTATAACTCCTAGCGACATCTAGTGGTTAATTAGCTGTCAATGTCTAAGACGTTTAAAAAGAAAATGTAAAAAATCAATTATTATTATTATCATTTAATTAATTTGTTAATTAAATTAAATTAACATTTTATTTAAAAATTAATTCCACTTTTAATTATAAATAAAACAATTATTCTTAATTACAAAATTTAAGCTCGTAGTGACATCTAGTGGTTAATTAGCTGTCAATGTCTAAGACGTTTAAAAAGAAAATGTAAAAAATCAATTATTATTATTATCATTTAATTAATTTGTTAATTAAATTAAATTAACATTTTATTTAAAAATTAATTCCACTTTTAATTATAAATAAAACAATTATTCTTAATTACAAAATTTAAGCTCGTAGTGACATCTAGTGGTTAATTAGCTGTCAATGTCTAAGACGTTTAAAAAGAAAATGTAAAAAATCAATTATTATTATTATCATTTAATTAATTTGTTAATTAAATTAAATTAACATTTTATTTAAAAATTAATTCCACTTTTAATTATAAATAAAACAATTATTCTTAATTACAAAATTTAAGCTCGTAGTGACATCTAGTGGTTAATTAGCTGTCAATGTCTAAGACGTTTAAAAAGAAAATGTAAAAAATCAATTATTATTATTATCATTTAATTAATTTGTTAATTAAATTAAATTAACATTTTATTTAAAAATTAATTCCACTTTTAATTATAAATAAAACAATTATTCTTAATTACAAAATTTAAGCTCGTAGTGACATCTAGTGGTTAATTAGCTGTCAATGTCTAAGACGTTTAAAAAGAAAATGTAAAAAATCAATTATTATTATTATCATTTAATTAATTTGTTAATTAAATTAAATTAACATTTTATTTAAAAATTAATTCCACTTTTAATTATAAATAAAACAATTATTCTTAATTACAAAATTTAAGCTCGTAGTGACATCTAGTGGTTAATTAGCTGTCAATGTCTAAGACGTTTAAAAAGAAAATGTAAAAAATCAATTATTATTATTATCATTTAATTAATTTGTTAATTAAATTAAATTAACATTTTATTTAAAAATTAATTCCACTTTTAATTATAAATAAAACAATTATTCTTAATTACAAAATTTAAGCTCGTAGTGACATCTAGTGGTTAATTAGCTGTCAATGTCTAAGACGTTTAAAAAGAAAATGTAAAAAATCAATTATTATTATTATCATTTAATTAATTTGTTAATTAAATTAAATTAACATTTTATTTAAAAATTAATTCCACTTTTAATTATAAATAAAACAATTATTCTTAATTACAAAATTTAAACTCGTAGTGACATCTAGTGGTTAATTAGCTGTCAATGTCTAAGACGTTTAAAAAGAAAATGTAAAAAATCAATAGTTATTATTATCATTTAATTAATTTGTTAATTAAATTAAATTAACATTTTATTTAAAAATTAATTCCACTTTTAATTATAAATAAAACAATTATTCTTAATTAGAAAATTTAAACTCGTAGTGACATCTAGTGGTTAATTAGCTGTCAATGTTTAAGACGTTTAAAAAGAAAATGTAAAAAATTAGTTATTATTATCATTTAATTAACTTGTTAATTTAATTAAATTAACATTTTATTTAAAAATTAATTCCACTTTTAATTATAAATAAAACAATTATTCTTAATTAGAAAATTTAAACTCGTAGTGACATCTAGTGGTTAATTAGCTGTCAATGTTTAAGACGTTTAAAAAGAAAATGTAAAAAATTAGTTATTATTATCATTTAATTAACTTGTTAATTTAATTAAATTAACATTTTATTTAAAATTAAATCCATTTTTAATTATAAATAAATTAAATTATTAATAACAAGGTTTAAACTCCTAGTGACATCTAGTGGTTAATTAGCTGTCAATGTCTGAGACGTTTAAAAAGAAAATGTAAAAAAAATAGTTATTATCATTTAATTAACTTGTTAATTTAATTAAATTAACATTTTGTTTAAAAATTAATTCCACTTTTAATTATAAATAAAACAATTATTCTTAATTAAAACATTTAAACTCGTAGTGACATCTAGTGGTTAATTAGCTGTCAATGCCTAAGACGTTTAAAAGAAAATGTAAAAAATTAGTTATTATTATCATTTAATTAACTTGTTAATTTAATTAAATTAACTATTTATTTAAAATTAATTCCACTTTTAATTATAAATAAATTAAATTATTAATAATAGGGTTTAAACTCCTAGTGACATCTAGTGGTTAATTAGCTGTCAATGTCTAAGACGTTTAAAAAGACAATGTAAAAAATCAATTATTATTATTATCATTTAATTAATTTATTAATTAAACTAAATTAACATTTTATTTAAAAATTTGTTCCACTTTTAATTATAAATAAAATAATTATTCTTAATTAGAAAATTTAAACTCGTAGTGACATCTAGTGGTTAATTAGTTGTCAATGTCTAAGACGTTTATAAAGAAAATGTAAAAAATCAGTTATTAATATCATTTAATTAACTTGTTAATTTAATCAAATTAACATTTTGTTTAAAATTAATTCCACTTTTAATTATAAATTAATTAAATTATTAATAACAAACTTTAAAACTCGTAGTGACATCTAGTGGTTAATTAGCTGTCAATGTCTAAGACGTTTAAAAAGAAAATGTAAAAAAATTAGTTTTATCATTGAATTAATTTGTTCATTTAATTGAATTAACATTTTATTTAAAATTAATTTCACTTTTAATTATAAATAAATTAAATTATTAATAACAAGCTTTATAACTCCTAGTGACATCTAGTGGTTAATTAGCTGTCAATGTCTAAGACGTTTAAAAAGAAAATGTAAAAAATCAATTATTTTTATTATCATTTAATTAATTTGTTAATTAAATTAAATCAACAATTTATTTAAAAATTAATTCCACTTTTAATTATAAATAAAATAATTAATTAGTAGCTTTAAACTCGTAGTGACATCTAGTGGCTATTAATTAGCTGTCAATGTCAAAGCTTTTAAAACACTTAAAAAGAAAATACTTTAAAAATTAGTTTATATTATTATTTATAACATTTTTTTTAATCTATTTCAGGTAGAAAGTTTATTAATATAAACCATCACGTTGGAGTAAAAGAAAAATTTAAATTCACACAAAAAAAAACTGGTTCAAATCAACTCTTAAACATGTTTTCGAGTGCGTTTTCGCCCATTTTTAAAGATGTTTCGTTCCGAAGGGTTCGTTCCGGCTTATTTTAACCCAACCAACCCCGATAATCATCCCCCAAGGTAATTTATTACTCAATCATATTTAATTTTATTCACATTATTAATTTTTTTAGTATATCCGTTGAATTTGGTGGCGAACAACAATCAAAATCACAAAACTCTAACAAACACGTGATTACAGAGACGCAACTTTCGTTTAAAAGAACTGTTTCGTTCATCGACGACGATGTTTTCGATTTTTCCCAACCAGATCAAGATGTGGATCGAACAAGATTGAAGAACAAATCGAAATGTAAAGTTTATTGTGGGTATATCAAGGTGATCGTTTTGGTTTTAATTTTTATCCCGTGTTGTGCGATTTTGATGAATAAAAGTGTTAATGTTACCGATGTCCATCATTTGAGTGTGAATCAAAATGATGTTAAAGGTTTGTTTTAATCACAAAATTAATTTTTTTAATTTAATTTAATTTTTAATAATTTTAGAGTACTTAATCTACGATTTACCCAAACAAGATTGTTTTTCTTTAAAATTACAAGGTGCGATTTTACCTGGGTATTATTCAAACTTATCGAGGGATTTTATGGAAGTTTGGGTCGATGTTTTATCTTTTCCTGAAACAATTTCAATTAATAAAACCAATTTCAAAAATCACCTATTAAAATCGAAGGTTATTTAAGAGAATTAATTAAAAATTAAAGTTATTAAACAATTTTGTTTTGTTGCAGAAAATTTCTAACATTTGGAAAGTTCCTTTATCACCAAACGATTGGATTCGCTCCAATCCGGAAATAAAACAACAAAAATTGTTCCATTTGAACCAATTTAAATGTTCTCCTTTTCATAATTGCGTTTTAAGCGTCAATTTTAAAACAAATTTGAACCGGCATTTTCCAATTTCGGTTTCTTACAACTTAAATCCGATTAATACTGAAATTGGGGCGCTTTATGCAGCTTTTGTGTTAATTTTTCTTTATGTTTTAATCGTTTTTGAGGTATTTTTAATTATTTCTGTGTTATAATTAATTTTTAATTGGAATTAATTTTAGATAATCCACAAAACTTTCGCTGCTATGTTGGTGAGCTCAGTTTCTGTCGCCCTTTTGGCTCTATTAGATGCGAAACCTACAGTTGCTGAGATAATTTCATGGATTGATTGGGAAACTGTTTTAATGTTGTTCTCAATGATGATTTTGGTCGCTGTTTTTAGCGAAACCGGGATTTTTAATTACATCGCCGTTACAGCTTTTAAAGTAAGTTAATTTTATATTCTATTTTTTTTTAATTCGGAGGAGTAAAATGAAAAAAATACTCATTATTCACGGATTATTAACTTGGATAATTATTTAAAACGTCAAAATTTCAAAAAAACGTCAATTTAATTTAATTATTTTAGGTTTGACATTAAAAAAACGTAAATAAATTAATTAATTTTCGTGAAAAAAACATGACGTTTCATAAAATTGACATTTAATTTTGACAAATTGTTGTGAAGTTGGTTACAGTTGGTAATATTGAATTTGTGTCACATTGACGATTAACTTTATTCAAATATTTATTTAAAAAAATCATGTTTGGACACATTTTAAAGGTTTTTTAATAAAGAATACATCATGAAAGAAGTTCGGGTGTAAAATGTCAACCTCATTTTGACATATTTGTAATCTTCATTAAAAATCCTTTAAAATGAGTACAAACACGATATATTTATCTTCAATATTAATGAAGTTACGGTCTACTTCCGGTTAGAAATGTCAACCTCAATTTTGACATATTTGTAATCTAGATTTAAAATGCTTTAAAATGAGTCCAAACTCGATAGGGTTATCTTTAAAAATAGCCAAGATACGATTGTTTTAAAAATATTTTGACAGGTCGTTCATATTGTTTTTATTTATTTGTAATTTGTAACTTTTTTGTTTTTTAAGATAACCCCTTCGTGTTTGGACTCATTTTAAAGGATTTTTAATTCCCAACAACCCGAAAACAACGACAACCCAAAATAACCATTTTTATGATCACTTCCGGTTTCTAAATCGAGAAATTTTTGAGATAAATATTTTTGTTTTATTAATTCTTTATTAATTGAAGATAACATAAGAAAAGAAATCAAGGAATTCATGAATTAAATTAATTATTAAAAATTTATATAAAAAAGAAAAATCTAAATTTATTAAATTATGAATAAAATTTCGTAATGTAGATTAAAAATGCTTTAAAATGAGTCCAAACTCGATAGGGTTATCTTTAAAAACAACCAAGATACGATTGTTTTAAAAATATTTTGACAGCTGATTCTCAATTGTTTTTTATTCATTTGTAGTTTATAACTTTTTTGTTTTTTAAGATAACCCCATCGTGTTTGGACTCATTTTAAAGGATTTTTAATTCCTTACAACCCGAAAACAACGACAACCCAAAATAACCATTTTTATGATCACTTCCGGTTTCTAAATCGAGAAATTTTTAAGATAAATATTTTTGTTTTATTAATTCTTTATTAATTGAAGATAACATAAGAAAACAAATCAAGGAATTCATGAATTAAATTAATTATTAATAATTTATATAAAAAAAAATCAATATTTATTAAATTATGAATAAAATTTCGTAATCTAGATTAAAAATGCTTTAAAATGAGCCCAAACACGATGGGGTTATCTTAAAAAATAAAAAAGTTAGAATCTAAAAATGAATTAAAACAATTGAGAATCACCTGTCAAAATATTATTAAAACAATCGTATCTTAGTTGCTTTTAAAGATAATTTCATCGAGTTTGGATTCATTTTAAAGCATTTTTAATCTAGATTACGAAATTTTATTCACAATTTAATAATTTTTAGTTTTAACTAGATAAATTTTTTACATAATTTTTTCATGATTAATTTAATTCGTGAATTCGTTGACTACTCTTCTTATGTTATCTTCCATTATTGAGGAATTAATAAAACAAAAGTATCTATCTCAAAAATGTCTCGATTTAGAAACCGGAAGTGATCGTAAAAATGGTCATTTTGGGTTGTCGTTGTTTTCGGGTTGTAAGGAATTAAAAATCCTTTAAAATGAGTCTAAACACGATGGGGTTATCTTAAAAGACAAGAAAGTTACAGACTAAAAATGAATAAAAAACAATTGAGAATCACCTGTCAAAATATTTTTCAAATAATCGTATCTTAGTTGTTTTTATAGATAACCCCATCGAGTTTGGATTCATTTTAAAGCATTTTTAATCTAAATTACGAAATTTTATTCATAATTTAATAAATTTTCGTTTTAACTTGATTAATTTTTTAAATACCTTTTGCATGATTAATTTAATTCGTAAACTCTTTGATATTCTTCTTATGTCATCTTCCATTGTTAAAGAATTAATAAAACAAAAATATTTATCTCAAAAATTTTTCGATTTAGAAACCGGAAGTGATCGTAAAAATGGTTATTTTCGGTTGTCGTTGTTTTCGGGTTGTAGGGAATTAAAAATCCTTTAAAATGAGTCCAAACACGACCGGGTTATGTTAAAAAACAAAAAAGTTACAAACTACAAATGAATAAAAAACAATTGAGAATCACCTGTCAAAATATTTTTAAAACAATTGTATCTTGGTTGTTTTTAAAGATAACCCTATCGAGTTTGGACTCATTTTAAAGGATTTTTAATTCCGGACGCACTTATCTCAAAAAACAAAAAAGTTAGAATAAAAAAACATTAAACCCGAAGTTGGCAACAATGAAGATAGCAATTTAATTTTTAAATATTAACACCAATCTGAATTTCCGATTTTTTTATTATATTTTTGTCTTTGTGACAAATTTTAAAACATTTTATAAAAATTAAGAATATATCAAAACGACATTGACATTTCAAACCGGAAGTTGCTTATATCTCGAGTAATATTGGAATTAAATGTGTCATGTTTGGATTCATTTTAAAGGATTTTTCACGACAATTACAAATATGTCAAAATCGAGGTTGACATTTCTAACCGGAAGTTGACCATAACTTCATTAATATTGAAGATAAATATGTCGTGTTTGTACTCATTTTAAAGGATTTTTAATGAATATTACAAATATGTCTCAAAATTGGCCTCCTCCGAATTGAAAAATAGAAAATAGTAAAAAAAAATTTAATTTGACGCTATATCAATTTTTTTTAGGTTACCGGTGGTAAAATGTGGCCATTAATTAATGTTTTATGTTTTACAACGGCCGTTTTATCATGTTTTTTGGATAACGTCACAACTGCTTTATTAATGACCCCAGTTACGATAAGGTAATTTTGGATTAATTCATTCGGATTAATTTTGAAATTGATTTTTTAGGCTTTGCGAGGTTATGAAAATTAATCCAGTTCCCGTTTTAACAAACATGGTTATTTATTCCAACATAGGGGGCGCTTGCACCCCAATCGGGGATCCCCCAAACATAATCATCGCATCAAACGAAAACGTAATCAAATCGGTACGTTTTTGGAATAAATTTTAATCAAAAAATTATTTTATTTATCATTTTTTAGGGGATCACTTTTAGCACGTTCACTTTACACATGTCACTCGGTGTTTTCATCGCTTTAATCGTCGCCAATATCCAGTTAAGAATAATTTATAGAAATGAAAGTGTTTTTAAGTATTCCGAGCCTTCAGAAGTCCATGGTAAATTTTTTTTAACAACTTTTTAATCAATTTTAAATTTTTTTTTGCATAGAAATTCGCAAAGAAATGGAAGTTTGGAAACGAACCGCCGAATCAATGAGCAGCTATAGCAAACAAGAGGTTGCAGTAAAAGACTCGATGATGAAGAGAACTTGCAGATTGGGTAAAAAACTTTATTCGAGGACTTCGTGTAAAAGCTTATCCAGTTTAGATGATAAAAACATCGATCTTCATCAATTAGCAGCAAAAGTAAGTTATTATTTATTTAAAATTTTAATTAAATATTCGAAACGTCAAATTTGACGGTTCAAATTGACAGTTTTAATATTAGATTTTAGTGATTTTGTAAATTAGGTGAATTGACCTAAAAATAATTTAATGACAGTTGGAAATGTCAGTTAAGGTTAAAAATTTTTTAAATTACTTTCTTTTAAAATCCTAAACTTGAATGTTTCTAATTTTAATATAGGCACAGAATAACCTAGTCGATATTAGGTACGATACGATATTATTTAAACCGAGGCAGCTGTGCTGCCGAGGCAGTGACTTTAGTACTTAAAATAAAGTAAATTTCTCTTTAATACAAACACATTGGTTAGAATCCTAGGCAGCCGTGCTGCCGAGGCAGTAGTTCAAGGTTTTCAATAACGAACTATTGTTTATAAACCGAGGCAGCCGCGCTGCCGAGGCAGTGGCTTTAGTACTTAAAATAAAGTAAAGTTCTCTTTAATACAAACGCAGTGCTTAGAAGCCGAGGCAGCCGTGCTGCCGAGGCAGTAGTTCAAGGTTTTCAATAACATACTATTGTTTATAAACCGAAGCAGCCGCGCTGCCGAGGCAGTGGCTCTAGTTCTTAAAATAAAGTAAAGTTCTCTTTAATACAAACACATTGCTTAGAAGCCGAGGCAGCTATGCTGCCGAGGCAGTGGCTCTAGTACTTAAAACATAATAAAGTTCTCTTTAATACAAACACATGGTTTAGAAGCCGAGGCAGCCATGCTGCCGAGGCAGTAGTTCAAGATTTTCACTAATGACATATTATTAGAAACCGAGGCAGCTGTGCTGCCGAGGCAGTAGCTCTAATACTTAAAACAAAGTAAAGTTCTCTTTAATACCAACACATTGCTTAGAAGTTGAGACAACCATGCTGCCGACGCAGTAGTTCAAGATTTTCACTAATGACATATTATTAGAAACCGAGGCAGCTGTGCTGCCGAGGCAGTAGCTCTAGTACTTAAAACAAAGTAAAGTTCTCTTTAATACAAACACATTGCTTAGAAGCTGAGACAACCATGCTGCCGAGGCAGTAGTTCAAGATTTTCACTAACGACATATTATTAGAAACCGAGGCAGCTGTGCTGCCGAGGCAGTAGTTCAAGGTTTTCAATAATAAACTATTGTTTGCAAACCGAGGCAGCCGTGCTGCCGAAGAAGTGGCTCCAGTACTTAAAACAAAGTAAAGTTCTCTTTAGTACAAACATATTGCTTAAAAGCCGAGGCAGCCGTGTTGCCGAGGCAGTAATTCAAGGTTTGCAATAATAAACTATTGTTTGCAAACCGAGGCAGCCGTGCTGCCGAGGCAGTGGCTGCAGTACTTAAAACAAAGTAAAGTTCTCTTTAATACAAACACATTGCTTAGAAGCTGAGACAACCATGCTGTCGAGGCAGTAGTTCAAGGTTTTCAATAATATACTATTGTTTATAAACCGAAGCAGCCGCGCTGGCGAGGCAGTGGCTCTAGTACTTAAAACAAAGTACATTTCTCTTTAATATATACACATTGATTGGAAGCCGAGGCAGCCATCTTGCCGAGGCAGTAGTTCAAGGTTTTCAATAATAAACTATTGTTTGCAAATCGACGCAGCCGCGCTGCCGAGGCACTGGCTCTAATACTTAAAACAAAGTAAAGTTCTCTTAAATACAAACATATTGCTTTGAAGCCGAGGCAGCCGTGTTGCCGAGGCAGTAGTTCAAGGTTTTCAATAATATACTATTGTTTATAAACCGAGGCAGCCGCGCTGCCGAGGCAGTGGCTCTAGTACTTAAAACAAAGTACAGTTCTCTTTAATACAAACACATTGCTTAGAAGCCGTAACCGTGCTGCTGAGGCAGTAGCTCTAGTACTTAAAACAAAGTAAAGTTGTCTTTAATACAAATACATAGCTTACAAGCCGAGGCAGTGGCTCTAGTACTTAAAACAAAGTAAAGTTCTCTTTAGTACAAACATATTGCTTAGAAGCCGAGGCAGCCGTGCTGCCGAGACAGTAGTTCAAGGTTTTCAATAATAAACTATTGTTTGCAAACCGAGGCAGCCGTGCTGCCGAGGCAGTGGCTCCAGTACTTAAAACAAAGTAAAGTTCTCTTTAATACAAACATATTGCTTAGAAGCCGAGGCAGCCGTTCAAGGTTTTCAATAATATATTATTGTTTATAAACCGAAGCAGCCGCACTGCCGAGGCAGTGGCTCTAATACTTAAAACAAAGTAAAGTTTTCTTTAATACAAACACATTGCTTAGAGACTGAGGCAGTCGTGCTGCTGAGGCAGTAGCTCTAGTACATAAAACAAGGTAAAGTTGTCTTTAATACAAATACATTGCTTACAAGCCGAGGCAGTGGCTCTAGTACTTAAAACAAAGTACAGTTCTCTTTAATATATTAATATACACATTGATTGGAAGCCGAGGCAGTAGTTCAAGGTTTTCAATAATATACTACTCTCTATAAACCGAGGCAACCGCGCTACCGAGGCAGTGGCTCTAGTACTTAAAACAAAGTACACTTCTCTTTAATACAAATACATTGCTTAGAAGCCGAGGCAGTAGTTTAAGATTTTCAATAATAAACGATTGTTTAGAAACCGAGGCAGCCGTACTGCCAAGGTAGTGGTTCTAGTACTTGAAACAAAGTAAAGTTTTTTTTAATACAAACACATTGCTTAGAAGTCGAGGCTGCCGAGTTGCTGAGGCAGTAGTTTAATTCTTTTTACTGTTGTTTAGTAACCGAGGCAATAGTTCTAGTTCTTAACATAAAATAATCTTTTCTTTAATATAAATACATTTCTTAAAAGGCACCTAGGTTGCCTCGATTTCTAAATAATATGTTATTATTGAAAACTTGATCAAATTTTTTGCAAGTTTCAAACTGAGGCAAAACTTTTCATCAACTTGATTTGAACTCTATCAGATTCCCCATCATTCAAAAAAATACTTTTGAGGTAACCCGTATCGTTACAAAATTAGTTTTCCTGAAATTTTTGCAAGTTTCAACTTGAGCAGGATTTTTCATCTACTCAATATAAACTGCATCGTATTTCTCGTTGTCGAAAGCAACAAATAAGGGAAAGAAAACATTTTTGCCAGTTCTTATTTCTTTTCAAAATCAGTTTTCCTTGAATTTTTGCAATTTTTAATCTGAGCAGAATTTTCCATCAACTCAATTTGAGTTACATCATATTTCTCTTTGTCCAAAGCAGCAAATAAGTAAAAAAAAGTCATATTTGCCAGTTTTTATTTCTTCGCAAAACGAATTTTCCTTGAATTTTTGCGATTTTTAATCTGAGCAGAATTTTCCATCAACTCAATTTAGACTACATCATATTTCTCTTTGCCCAAAACAGCAAATAAGGAAAAAAATCATTTTTGTCAGTTCTTATTTTTTTTGCAAAACCAATTTTCCTTGAATTTTTGCAATTTTCAATCTGAGCGGTATTTTCCATCAACTCAGTTTGTACTTCATCGTATTTTTCTTTGTCCAAAACAACAAATAAGGAAAAAAAAAACATTTTTGACAGTTCCTATTTCTTTGCAAAATCAGTTTTTCTTGAATTTTTTGCAAATTTCGGGTTGAGCAGAATTTTTAATCAGTTTAATTTGAACTGCAACAAATTTCTGACAATATTTAAATCTGCAAATATTCAAAAAAATACTTCTGCCATCTCTTATTTTATACAATACTAGTTTTTTTTTAAGAAAACTCAATCATTTTCGGTAGTTATGTAAGGGAAGTTCTGGATTAACTCGAGTTACTCTCAAATTATTCGCTAGATGGCGCCACCGGCGGCGTGGCAAGTTGGTGGCTACGGTTTGAAACTCGGCTAAATTTTCATAAATTTAATGTAAATTTAAGTTAATTAATTTTGAGATTTAGGAATAAAGAGTTTACTATACGAAGTATTTACTAAGAATCTATTTTTTACAAAATAAAGTGAATCTTAACTTTAACTGTCATTTTTGGCTGTCATTAAGAACTAGAAATATTCGGGTTTAGTCGTTTCTAAAATTTTTTTTACTTCTAAATTTAGTATTAGTTCTAATTCTATTTTTAAATTGGTTATAACAAATAAATATTAACATTAATTAGAATTAATTCATTTAAATATAGGAGTAGTTATTTGAAACAACAAAAGATGGCGCTAATGCCTTAACTTTTATTAAGTAGCTAACTTCTCCATACAAATTTTCGCCATATTGTTTATTTTAAGTTTCAAAATTTTTTTATCTATTTATTTCGTCAAATTTAATCATTTCCTTTTCATTTTCAGTACCCAATCAAAGATAAATCTTTGTTAATTAAAAGCTCCGTTTGTTTGGTGTTGGTGATCACGGGATTCTTTTTAAATTCTTTGCCGGTTTTTAGTAAGTAAAAACATAACCTCAAAAAATTTTTTTTAACCTTATTTAATTTTAGGCCGATTAGGTTTAGGTGAAATTGCCTTTTTAGGCTCAATCCTACTCATCATCATCGCCGATCGAGACGATTTAAGCCCGATAATCGCTAAAATCGAATGGGAAACTCTCCTTTTTTTTATATTTTTATTTATTTTGATGGAGGTAAATTTAAATTGATTTTTGATTTTAATTTTAACTTAATTTATTAATTGTTTTAGGCTTTATCAAAATTGGGGTTAATCGATTGGATGGGTAGTAAAACCCAATCGATTATTATGTCGATGGATGAATCTTCACGACTCCCTGCGGCTATCTTAATTATTTTGTGGGTTTCCGCTTTTGCGTCATCTTTAGTGGATAATATCCCTTTAACTACGATGATGATTCGGATAGCAACTGGGTTGGCTCATGATAAAGATCTCAACTTACCTTTGCAGCCTTTAATTTGGGCTTTGGCCTTTGGGGCTTGTTTTGGGGGGAATGGAACGATATTTGGGTCAACTTCTAATATCGTTTGTGCGGGGGTTTCGGAACAACATGGTTATAAATTTTCGTTTTTGGGATTTATGAAGTAATTTAACTCAAAATTTTTAATTTTTTATTTATTAATTAATTTTTTTTGTAGGATTGGTTTTCCAATTATGATTTCAACAGTTTCCGTCGTAACGATTTACCTTTTAATCGCCCACGTCGTTTTCAACTGGAACTAAAACGAAGATTTTTTGCTGTTTTTGTGTCTACGTGATGTTAAAATATTGCAAGGTTGGTACTAAGTTAATTTTTAATTGTTATTAGGTAATTCAAATAAATTTATCAACGCTACATTTCACCATCTCATAAGTCCCCTCACAAAGATCAACGTTTTTGGTGCTTTTCCCATAACATCTCTCCAAATGAAGTTTCTCCGCTTTAATTTTCCTTAAAAAATCAACCCCAAAGACTTCTTTTTCGTTTAAAACGCTCGTCCTCAACAAAACGCATCTCAACAAGCATTTCTCCTCCAAACTAAAATCATCAGATTGAACATCAGGTAATTTTTGATGTTCTAAATGAAGTTCTTCAGAACATTGTTTGATGATTTCTTCGGTTACTTCCGGGAAAATTACCCCCTAAAAATGATTTGGATAAAAAAAATTAAAATTATTAAATCACTTTACTTGAGTAGAACCGATGTAGATTAACACAATGATGTGAATTCGCTTCATTATTAAATTTGGGATGATTTTTATGAGCTTATATATCATAATTATGACACAAAAAGTTATTGTTAAAGAGGAAGTTAAAAAAAATGAAGGTTACAACATTAACAAATTAATAATGAGGTTATAAAAATGGGACTAAATCGAAAATAATTTCACTCCCAACAATAACCTCCACAAAAATGTTAAATAAAACTAAATTGTTGATATTTCTTTTATTAGCCACCACAAAAGTAAGTTTTTATTATTACCACAATTTAAATATTTATTAATTTTTGTTTATTCAAGGGTGAACTTTCGATGAATCAAATTTTCGAGATTAAAGATAAATGTGTGTTGGAGTTAAATTTGGCTCCAAATTCCCATCAAACTTTACCAAGTTTGGAAAAAAACGTTGTATTAAGCGACGATGAGAAATGCTTGCTTAAGTGCATGTTTATTAAAATGAATTTTCTCGATTTAAGTGGAAAATTAACGGAGAGTTATATCCGGGATAAATTTGTTGGGATTTCCCGCGAGGAAATTGATGGTTGTTATGTTAAAGATTTAGATCTTTTAAAAGGGAAATGCGAGGCGTTTTATCGATCGGTTAAATGTTTTAATGAGCTTATGAAGAAAGTGGATCAAATTTAATTTGAGATTTCAATAAAATCTTGATTCAATTTATTTTTAACTTTAATTGACATTTTTAGCTGTCATTAAATTTTTTTTTGTAACATTTCTCCTAATTTACAAAATCACTAAAATCGTTATATTTAACGTTGCCAATGTCAAACGTCAAATTTGAAATTATGTCACATAAAAATTAGTTCAATTTGATACCAACCTAAATCGTTTCTATTAACGTCAAATTTGACATTAAAAGAATAATTAAATTTAAATTAATTGTTTTCAAACATTTTTCGTTTTATGGCTATTTTTAAAGTTAATCAACAAATTGTATTTGAGGTTAGTGTCTTTTCTACATAATTTAATTAATTAAATACTCAACGTAAGAAAGGACTGATAATGTCAGAGCGGGCTATTCCTGCATGGCAAAGCGCCCCTAAATTGGGGTGTGGCTAGAAAAGTCATCACTTACACATCCGACCAGGCGATTCAAACATTTAACGTTCAATCGCCTGGAGAAGAGAATATCTTTCCTGTTTTGTGACAGCAAGGAAGGTTAATACTATTGCCTATTTTGGTAAAAAGTTTAAGAGCGAGACCCTATTCCTAATGCCTTTCGATCCATCAGGTATCTGGTTCACTAAGTTGACACCAGTACGCTTATCCATCAGAATTGGCTCTACACATCGTGGTTGGTAGAGTATCCAGAATAAAGCGATCTTGTTTTGTGCGATTCTGGATAGAGAGGTGTACTAAAATTTTTTTTATTGCTTAAATTACTGGTGATTGTTTCTAAACGATATAAAGGACATAACAACGGTTTATTTTATGAAAAATATGGTTGAGGAAGGAAAAAATTACAAATTAATCTTCTTCAGAAATAGCTCCCTCTTCGTCATTTTCGGATGGAAGAACCATTGGGTTTGGCTGTGCTGGCAGAAAAACATTGATGGTTTCAGAAAGAAACGAAATAAATTTTCTTTTTTTAAAAGTCCTCATGTTACTAATGGATCTGAACCCAAGAGAAGTCGGTTGAATATATCTCTATTACAGGACTTTCCTTGAAGAAAATTTCCTTGAAAAGTCTTGGTGATATGTTCTAAAATATTTGTTGCGTGCTTCTGCTGCCTCCTCACATACTTGACCAATAGGTACGTAATGGATTTTTATTATAACAGCTTCATGAATTAATAAAGGTGAACCATCAGTTGGCTGAAGTCGTAGGAAGTCGCATGATGTTGTGCCAGTAGCTGCGTTACAGAACTTTAAAAAAAGTATCTAATTAATTTATGCATTTTGAACAATTCGATTCTTCAAAATGATCCCAATAAAGGACGCAAAAAAATGGCGAAAATGGAAAAGGATGCAAAACAAAAAACTTTGGACAAATTTTTCAATGATGGTCTACAAACAACAACAGACACTGAGAAGCTACGCAATTCCTCCGAATCAAAGTTATTTTATTTTATGTTATTTATCAAATTCTTACTCAGTTTTTTTTTAGATAATAACAATATGCCTGCAATATGCTTGATAGTAGAATAGTTTCTAGTTCACCCCACGGTGACACCCTTCTTCTTGATGACTTAATTGCGATAGTCGAAGTCGTATCGCTGATGACAATGTGATTATGGTCAAAGGAACCTGTTTGTCGAGAATATCCAAAGTTATCCATGTGAATCCCTAAAATCTTTCGATAAACCCACAAAAGAATCGTACCTTTAACCAGTTGGGTTAAACAGTTGGGTGGACTTTCGTGAAGATAATCCTTTCTCAAATGATGTCCAAATATCTGAAGAGTAGTTCTAGATAAAACTCTCTCATGGAATGGACATTTACAGGAAGTTTGACACAAAGCTAAATTATCCTTGTCGTCTGTGAAAAAAATTGCCAACTCTAGTAATGGATGTTCTGCTTGGCCTATCTTCTTTGCATTTGTATATAGAGAAAATGGTTAGAACTACCATTTACAGGTTTTTAATATGCCCAAAACTGCTCCGACATGTCCTACTAAGAAATTATAAGCACTGATATTATGCCATCAATGCAGTGATACCAGTGATTAATGCTCGATATTAGATTGTACTGCCTAAACGGCAGTTATGCTATCTATCGGGATACAATAGATGTTTGAGGTCGAACGTTGGTTCGCCTACCCGATATACAGAGTGTCAGATAAAAAACGCCCCAAGCTGTAACTCTGTCATTTACATTCCGATTTTCATGAACGAGGTATCAAATGAAATGGTTTGATGAACACTATGATTCATGCTACAAATAAATTCAACGCCATCTTCAATTTCAAGCGGTGTTAACTTTTGTTTTACAAATTGCTGCGTATATTTTCCCTCGCGTCATTGGATAGAGTTTGTTTTTCTGAACCCATTAATGTACAATGCATCAACATTAATTGTAATTGTAGTACAGAAAAACATTAAAATAGTTTCCGAACATTCCGAAAGAAAAGAGCAGCAATAAATAAAAGACTGCTTAACATGCAGGAACAATTCCAAAACAATAACCAATATTCAATATTTTCAAAAAGGGCTACAAACCAACAACCAGCATATGTAAGTCTACAGAATGGCAAATAATTGGAGAGTATTGAGAAAAGATGGAAACGATACACAATCTGTGGAGGGGGGGGAGTTTGCGGAACCCGCGACCTGGAAATGATATCATACCAGCAGAACTACTGAAGAACGGATGCTCTGACCTCACCAAAGCGTTAACTGACCTCATACAGAAAGTATGCACCAGATGCGTGGAAAACGAGTATTACATACAGGGTGTACAAAAAGTATGGAATAATGGTTCTACAGCCTAAACTTCAACTTATATTAAAAAAAGTTTTAAATAAAAGTTACTTGACACTATTTTCCGCATATCTTAGTGTAGAAATAAAATAAAAATGACGACGCTTTGAGTTACGACATGGTGAGTCTGTTTTTTAAATGGAACACCCTCTATATTTTAAGCTTTTTGGATTCCTTTTGACAAGGTGTTGCAAACTAAAACGTTAAAATACAATGTCATTGTGTTATTAAAGTGAGGTTAGGAATCTTCAATATCATTTTCGAGTCACTTTTTATTACAAAGTACTCCTCGATTTAGATTTAAGTCTTTGACGCACGGCATAACCTTGAAAATTTCTAGTTTTAGTTTTATTTCTAACACGAAATGAGTTGAATACATTTTTTTTTTTATTAAAACGTCAAAATACAATGTCATTTGAAAGTGAGGTTAGATTGTGTTATTAAAGTGAGGTTGGGAATCATCAACATCATTTTCGAGTACCAACACGAAAGTTTTCGAAGACATCGGCCGCCCCCGGCCATTCCAAACGCTACAACATTAAGAACCTTGAGCTCTAGGGGGCGGCCCACGTCTTCGAAGTCGGCCGAGTTGATTTTTCGTTACAAAGTACTTCTCGATTTAGATTTAAGTCTTTGACGCACGGCGTAACCTCAAAAACTTCTAGTTTTAGTTTTATTTCTAAAACGAAATGAGTTGAATACATTTTTTTTTTCATTAAAACGTCAAAATACAATGTCATTTGAAAGTGAGGTTAGGTTGTGTTATTAAAATGAGGTTAGGAATCTTCAACATCATTTTTCAATACAAACACGGCCGTTTTCGAAGACATCGGCCGCCCCCTGCCATCCCAGACACTACAACATTAAGAATCTTCAATTTTTGGGGGCGGAGTTCCTTTTCAATTTAGATTTAATTCTTTGACGTACGGCATAACCTGAAAATTTTTAGTTTTATTCATTAAAAAAATTGATTGTACTTACTCTGTCTTAAAAATTGTGTTTTTCCTCATTTAATGCGAAAGTTGTTTATGATAATTTTGATAAAACTTTCTTTTAATGCAATAAGCGTTTTTATTTACAAAATTTTTAGACTTTTCTGCCGATGTAATAAGAAATAAAACTAAAACTAGAAATTTTGAGGTTATGCCGTGCGTCTTTAATGCAAAATGAGTTGAATAAAATCCTTTTTTAATGAAACGTCAATAATGTCACTTAATAGAAGGTAGCGCCATCTGTCGGAAAAAGTCTAAAAATGTACGTTTGTAACTATCTTCTCATTATAGGATTTTTGAGGTTATGTTGTGTTTTTGACGCAGGGCATAACCTCAAAAATATCTAGTTTTAGTTTTATTTCTAACACAAAATGAGTGAATACATTTTTTTTTCATTAAAACGTCAAAATACAATGTCATTTGAAAATGAGGTTAGGTTGTGTTATTAAAGTGAGGTTAGGAATCTTCAACATCATTTTCCAATACAAACACGGCCGTTTTCGCAGACATCGGCCGCCCCCGGCCATCCCAGACACTACAACATTAAGAATCTTCAGTTTTTGGGGGCGGAGATCACCTTTCAATTTAGATTTAATTCTTTGACGTACGGCATAACCTCAAAATTGTTAGTTTTATTCATTAAAAAAAATGATTGTACTTACTCTGCCTTAAAAATCGTGTTTTTCCTCATTTAATGCGAAAGTTGTTTATGATAATTTTGATAAAATTTTCTTTTAATGCAATAAGCGTTTTTATTTAAAGATGTCGGTGCTTATTGATAAATCACCATGGTAACGGCAGGGTTGAAAACTTTTAATCACAAAATTTTTAGACTTTTCTTCCGATGTAATTAAGAAATAAAACTAAAACTAGAAATTTTTGAGGTTATGCCACGGCATAACCCTAAAATTCTAATGCGAAATGAATAAAATCCTATTTTAATGAAACGTCAAAAATGTCACTTAATAGGAGGTAGCGCCATCTGTTGAAAATTTTGATTAATAAAAAAAGCAACTTTATAAAAACATTTTTATTAATCTAAATTAAAGTGGGGGCCATAATAAAGTAACTTGTCCATGTAAACTTTGTGGTAACCACATTAAATATTCTTCTAAAAGATCTAAAATAAAAAAAAAATAACCTCACTTCATTCATTTACAAGCAAACAACTTACAATTTTTATTCCTTTTAAATTCTTGTTCCAATTTTAATTTGCAATCGACTTTATCCCCCGCTAATTTCTGCACCAACCTCACCACTTTCGGTTGCAATTTAGCCCACGGTTTAACCACCGTATAACTCGGATTTAACAAACTCCGCGAAAACTTTTTCAATCTCCCACAAACCAATCCTTCCAAAAAATACCGTCCAAACCATTTATAAATTTGCGAAGAATCGGGAAAATCGATTTCAATCACCCCGGGAAGCACAAATCCTCCTTTTCCAAAAGTCCCAGTAACTTTACACCGAATTTTTCCACTTTTCTCATCATAACTCGGCTCGGGATCATTTAAAGGCTCACTCAAATTACATAATTTCGGCACAAAACTCACCAACCATTCGGGTTCAATCGAAGAAACCGTTCTTAAATAAATCTTTTCGTTCGAATCGGTTTCGTAGAGTTCTTGAAATGTGATAAATTCGGGTAGAGGTGGTTTAAAAATCGATTTTTTCGATAAAAAAACTGGTTCTTCTAAAAATTCAGTTCGATACGCGTTTTTTAATAATTTCTTTTGATCGTTAGGGAGGTTGTTATTAATTTCGATTTTTTGCGCAATTTTATCCCCCATTCCCGATAAAACGATTTGACGCAATAACTTCGCTTGCAAATCGCTAGGTGGGGTTAAATTCGGATCAACTGTCAAATTTAAATTTAAATCGGAGTGATTTAAATTGATCTCTTTCGTTAATTGTAAACGGATTTTTCTGATTTCTTTTATTGCTTTTTCGCGTAAATTAAAGGTTGAGCAAAATTTGGTTAATTTTCCTTGTAAATTTGCGATTTCAGCTCCACCTATCGTTGTTAATAGGATCATTAGGTCGCCGAGTAAATAAAAGTTTCCTGTTTTTAGGTGATTTTTTGCCATTTTGTTGTATGTTGTGATTGAGTCGTTTTTGAATAGTTCTTGGACGCTTAATGCGGAGATTAATAGGATTGTGTATGGTAATAAATCGAATTGGTTGCTTAAAGCTAGCATTTTTCCGAATCGGGGTAAAACGGGGTATTTTGAGACGACTTTTCCTAATTCGGTGATTCTTTTGTTGTCGATTAAGCCTAAAATTTCTAATGTCCGCTCGGCTGATTTTAATTGCATCAAATCGGGGGCTGTGGGGAACGGGAAATTGATTATTTTGTCGATCCCCATACATTTCATGTATAAATACAAGTCATCGGCGGGTTTTTCTTGTATTTCGGGCCTCTCAAAGTCTTTAAAAACATCATTAAAAACCGCGCTTGAGTATAATCGGTAACAATGTCCGGGGGAAGTTCTCCCCGCTCTCCCCGCGCGTTGATTAGCCGAAGCTTTACTCGTCCAAGTCACCAAAAACCGCGAAGTTCCCGTTATTTTATCGTAAAGCTTAATTTTGGTCTTCCCCGAATCAACGACATATTTAATATTAGGTATTGTTAAGCTAGTTTCGGATATATTCGTTGAAATGACGCATAATCGACACCCTTCTGGGGGATTTTTAAACACTTCGAGTTGTTTATCGGCGTTTAATTGCGAATAAAGGGGTAAAACCCATAAAGGATCACCCGTTTTAACAATTTCCGAATCATCTAAATCAAATTCTTCGTCGCTTAACCCCACATCTTCATCATTTATAACATCAAAATCGTCCAAATCAATTTTTGGCACAATTTTAACCTTCTTTTTTAAATTTCTTTCCCCTTTAAGCTTCAAATTTTTATTTTTAACCGGAAACATCTTTTTTAATTTCCCCACCAAAGCCGTAACCTCTCTTCGCCCAGTCAAAAAAACCAAAATCCCCCCTTCCGGTAATTCCCCGTGGATTTTCGCAACTTTCCTCAAACTCTCCTTTAAATAATCATCGTTAGTTCTCCGATTAAAATGAACGGTAACCGGAAATTGCCGAGCTTCAACATTAATAACCGGAGGAGATATCTTAAATAATCTCGGATTTTCCGTAAAATCTTTTAATCGTAAAGTAGCCGACATGATGATCAATTTTAAAAAATCTCCTCGTTTATTTCGTAAAGGTACGATTCGGCTCAAAAATCCGATTAATATATCCGTGTGAACCGATCGTTCGTGGGCTTCGTCTAAAATAATAACCGAGTACTTTGTTAATAAAAAATCTTCTTTGATTTCTCGCAATAAAACGCCGTCGGTCATAAATTTAATTTTCGTTTTATCGGTGACGTTTCCTTCGAATCGGATTAAATACGAAACTATGTCTTCGGATAAACTGAGTTCTTTTGCGACTCGTTTTGACATCGAAATCGCTGCAATTCGGCGAGGCTCCGTTATTGCAATCGTTTTGGTTGAGGCGTAACCGGCTTCGTAAAGAAATTGGGGAACTTGCGTTGTTTTACCACTACCTGAAATCATTAAATGTGTCAAATTTCGTAATTTAGATCGAAAATGCTTTAAAATGAGTCCAAACTCGATGGGGTTATATCAAAAAATAATTAATTCAAGATGGCGCTCTTTCATTTTCCGCCATCTTGAATTAATTATTTTTTTAATCATTTTTAATTTAAAATCCCTTTAAAATAAGACCAAACTCGATGGGGTTATCTCAAAAAATAATTAATTCAAGATGGCGCTCTTTCATTTTCCGCCATCTTGAATTAATTATTTTTTAATCATTTTTAATTTAAAAGCCCTTTAAAATGAGACCAAACTCGACGGGGTTATCTTAAAAAACAAAAAAGTTACAAACTAAAAATGAAAAAAAAAAAACAATTGAGAATCACCTGTCAAAATATTTTTAAATCAATCATATCTTAGTTGTTTTTAAAGATAACCCCATCGAGTTTGGACTCATTTTAAAGCATTTTTAATCTAGATTACGAAATTTTATTCGTAATTTAATAAATTTTGTTTTTAATTTGATTTCTTTTTTATATAACTTTTTAATAATTAATTTAATTCATGAATTCCTTGATTTCTTTACTTATCTTATCTTCAATTAATAAAACAAAAATATTTATCTCAAAAACTTCTCGATTTAGAAACCGGAAGTGATCGTAAAAATAATTATTTTGGGTTGTCGTTGTTTTCGGGTTGTAGGGAATTAAAAATCCTTTAAAATGAGACCAAACTCGATGGGGTTATCTTAAAAAACAAAAAAGTTACAAACTAAAAATGAATAAAAAACAATTGAGAATCACCTGTCAAAATATTTTTAAAACAATCATATCTTAGTTGTTTTTAAAGATAACCCCATCAAGTTTGGACTCATTTTAAAGGATTTTTGATCTAGATTACGAAATTTTATTCGTAAATTAATAAATTTTGAATTTAATTTGATTTCTTTTTTATATAACTTTTTAATAATTAATTTAATTCATGGATTCCTTGATTTCTTTACTTATCTTATCTTCAATTAATAAAACAAAAATATTTATCTCAAAAATTTCTCGATTTAGAAACCGGAAGTAATCGTAAAAATTATTATTTTGAGTTGTCGTTGTTTTCGGGTTGTAGGGACTTAAAAATCTTTTAAAATGAGCCCAAACTCGATGGGGTTATCTTAAAAAACAAAAAAGTTAAGAACTAAAAATGAATAAAAAACAATTGAGAATCACCTGTCAAAATATTTTTAAAACAATCATATCTTAGTTGTTTTTAAAGATAATCCCATCGAGTTTGGACTCATTTTAAAGCATTTTTAATCTAGATTATGAAATTTTATTCATAATTTAATAAATTTTGATTTCTTTTTTATATAACTTTTTAACAATTAATTTAATTCATGAATTCCTTGATTTCTTTACTTATCTTATCTTCAATAGATTACGTAATTTTATTCGTAATTTAATAAATTTTGATTTTAATTTGATTTCTTTTTTATACAGTGCGTTTCAAAAGTAACGGATAAATTCGATAAAATCAATACAAACAATTTCTGAAAAAATCGCTGAAACGGGTCTAAAGATTTAAATTTTTTGCAATTTTTTGGTGTATATTTAAATTTGTTTCCGCCATTTTTAAACGAATTATGACGTCATCGAAGATTTTTTTAAATCGAACCCCACTTTTTATATCGGAATTTAAAAGAGATTGTTTTTCTGAATTATGTACAATAAATATTAATATCGGTTAGATAAGAACATTTTCGAGAAAAATTAATTTAAAGTTTCATTATTTCCCATTCATTTGATATAGAAAATAGCAGTAGCAGTGCGTAACCATGGCAACCAATTGTTTTGATTTGACATTTCCAAGTGTCAAAATTCAATTGGAATTGAATCATTTATTTAAATTAATTATTATTACTATTGTACTTGAGATACAAAAGTAGCAATAGCTTGTTGCAACAAACGCATCAAAAGAAAAAAAAATTTTAAACTTTAAATTTAAAAAAATAACATGAAAGATAGAAAACAATAATATCATTAATAGTGAGTTTAGACATGCATGGATTCAAATAACAACAAAAAAATAACAACGAATAGCGATGAATAACAACAATTAACAAAAGAAACTCCACAATACTACTCAAAATAATCTCATTAACGCACAATAAACTGTTTCAAATTGAATTTTGACACTTGGAAATTTTAAATCAAAACAATTGGTTGCCATGGTTACGCACGGCTACTACTATTTTTTATATCAAATGAATGGGAAATAATGAAACTTTAAATTAATTTTTCTCGAAAATTTTCTTATGTAACCGATATTAATATTTATTGTACATAATTCAGAAAAAAAT